CCTCGGGCCTCCTTTGATGACTTGCAGGTTCCCAGAAGCTCTCACTCCTGACATGAGCCAGAGAGCCCAAACAGCAAGGCCGTGAGTTTATAGCCTTTTATCTCCTTTCTACTTTAGTCTGTCCTTCTGTGTGCTGGGAGAGGGGTGGGGGGGGGCGTTCCTACTGAACTGCCATCGTGCGACCCAGGACAAGGGAAGCTGTACATGAACGTGGGGTTCTGCCCCGGATATGCCATTGACACACATCGCCTTCTCAATACTTCAGCAGCCATGCTGGAAAAAGACGAAAACTGCTAATTGACCTGTAAGCTGGACCCCAGCTCTTGGAGGCTCCTCACCCCCTCCCCTATCCTTGGACTATGGGTTCAGCTTGCCTCTCCCACTCCTAGAGGCTGCTCCAAGGACAGAGCCTGGAGATAGGGATGTGGTGTTAAGAATACCTACACGGTTTATGTGACTGAATCGAGTTAAAGGCCTTTTTATGTACTTTAAAGATTTGGCAGGCAGTGCAGGAAACCATTAGTCTTTTTGCTGCCCGACACAGGCCTCATATAGAGGTTCCCTCGGCTTGTTAGAACTGCCACCTGCCAAGCTGGAGTGGCCTGCCTCTGTCTTCGGTCCCTCCCTGCCCTGCGAGTACAGGGGTCAGTTTCAGATTAAACCTGGAAAGTTCCTGGGAGGGTTAGGAACCCGTACTTGCTGTGTGGCCTTAACCAAGTCTCTCAACTTCTCTGGGCCTCTGTCTCCTCTACAGATAAGAAGAAAGCAACTGGGGTGTATGAACAGTATGAAGAAGGAGCTGGGAAGGGACAGCTTAGCCACCCTCTTCTGCTGGCTTACCCTCGCTCCAGTGGTCAGATGGATCTCCAGCCCTTTGCTCCCACCTAAGAGACACGCAGAAGGATAGTCAAGGATTTTCCTGTTTTCCATTCTCATCTCTAAGGCCTCCAAGGGCTCACCTTGAGGGACCCTATATGAGGGTATTTCTATTCCCCACCTTCTTCCAACCTGCCTTTTGTCTTGGAAGCCAATTTCCATGGACTACAGTCAGGGCACCCTCACCTCTGGCTGGTTGGGTTTGGCCAATGGGAGGCGCTGGTGGAGGACTAGACGAGGAAGAGGTAGAAATGAAACTCTCCTGCTGCCTCCCCGCTCTCCTCCCCACTTCCCTGCGTTCCTGGCAGTGGTGGCATTTGGCAATTCCAGCTCTGGTTGGGTCGCCCCCTTCCTTGACTCCAGCTCCCACAGGTTCCATCACCAAGTTCCTTGGCACTCAAAGGACTTCTTGCTGTTTTCAGTCACTGGGGACCTGGCACCTCCTGTCAGTTCCTTTTACCCTGCACACACCTCTGTAGGCAGCCCTTCCATTAACAAACACTTTGAATGTGCTTTCTCTTTTCTGCCATAGCTGTCTGACGCAGACTCTCAGTATCTCTCCGTATGCTTTCCAAACTGGTATTCTAACCAACCCCGGCTATGGACCAGTTCATCTATAAGACCAAGAGGTGAGTTTTGAAGGGACAAAGTATAGAGGTCTTTGCTGCTGGGCCCTTGTCTTCCAGCTGCACACACCCTCTCTCCTCCTTGGTGCAAATGAGTGAGTGGAAAGTCATCTAATGGTTGGCTACTGGCTGACATGTACCAAACAATCCTGTTGCTCACCGTAATCATCTCTATTTGTGTATAAGCTGCATTCCTCTGACCATCTGTCTTACTTTTGGTTGACAAACTCCCAAATTCCCTCTCTTTTATTCATACATAATACATGAATGAGTCACAAGTGGGGAAAGTCAACAGGGCTCCTTCTACCTCAGTCTCCTCATCTGTATCAATGGGATAATAAGACTATCAACCTCATAGGGCTGGTGTGAGAATTAAATGAGTAACATCTGTAAGTGTTAGAATAGCAGGTGCAAAGTATTATCTAACACTATTATTTTACTCTCTCGTCTGGCTCCTTTTGGCTCACTCTCCTATAGCTTGTATGTAAGAAGGGGAGCAGGGGATCTGGGTAGGAATTCCTAAGCCCTGCCCCTCCACTTTCAATGTTTTCGTCAGCTTTTCCCTCCCCCTCCACATCCCACTGTTGAGTAGATTCCCTTCTTTGCCATCTTTTTATCCCAGAAGTCCCTTATGATCCTTATGTTTTCTGCTTTCAATTCTAGACCATCGGTTTTCAGTTGGTGGCCTAGAGAGCCTCTGAGGCTCCCAAGAAGCCCCCCAGACCTCGGAAAGTGGATATCGCTCTAGGTCCCTTTAGCTTGCTTTTATCTGTTCAAGCTTCCTTTCAAGGTTCTGTTTGAACAAAGCCTTCCGAGACTTAAAAGAATTGGAAATCCCTGTTCCAGGATATCACAACTCTCAGTCTTAATTTCTTTAACCCCCTTGAAAAGAAACTTTCTCTACTTCATTCAAATGGTTTGTATTCTTTTCTACTTCCGATGCTCTGAAACAGATATGTGAACAAGCAAATCTTTGTGTACTCGTCTGGGATGTCTTTCCCAGGTGCTCAGCATGGTCAGCCAATATTGCCTCTCTAATTCTCAGGCCTCTAGGGAAGATAACTACAGCACTATTGAACAAAAGAGACGTTTGAAGGCACTTGACTTTTGCTGGCCCCCTATCCAGCCACTGGAATACTTCCAACCCCAGGAATCAAAAGACTCCTAGGACCCTATCCTGATAAGCCTGGGCCAAGCCTAGTCCTAAGAGCTGCTAGGAGTGAGGGAAATGGGGTAGCAGAAGCTCCCTGGACTGGCTGGGGGTGGGGGGAGCATCACCATCTGAAACTCGCTGTGGGAGTTTGGGGAGGTCCTAACACCTCAACTGGTCAACATACAATTTCTTTATGGAGTTCAAGACCTTGGGCACAGAGACTATGAATATGGGAAGGGAGCAGAAGCCCTCTCTCATTCCAGGCAGATCTCTGCCTGCAATGCCTTTACCTCAGACTGCCACACGCTTCCTCTCATACTTCATTTGTCTCAAATGTTACCTCATGAGAAGTGCCTTAAGACTGGGGACAACATGGCGCCTGGGTGGCTTAATAGGTTAAGCGTCTGCCTTTGGCTCAGGTTATGATCCCAGGGTCCTGGGATCAAGCCCTGCATTGGGTTCCCTGCTCAGTGGGGAGCCTGCTTCTCCCTCTGCTTCTGCCTCTCTTTCTGTCTCTCATGAATAAATAAGCAAAACCTTTAAAAAAAGACAACGACGACAATGATTGGGGGCAAGAGAAGCCCCTACCTTGGGTTCCGAGCTCTCTGGCCCTCTTCTAACCATACCCTTTTCCACAGAGCAAGAAGCCCATGTGCCAAGGGGATGCGCCCACCCCAAGCTCCTGCTCCTCACCCCTCCTTAGATCCTCCTGTGGGTACCCAAGACCCTAGAATTCTCCATCCCTGTGGCACCAGGCCAGCTTCTAGAGACTGCATTGACCTTTCCATCCTCTTGAGGAACCAATAAACAGCTATTTGCAGGAGATGTGGATGAAGCTCAGACACATAGACCCAGATATGACAGGGGTGGGCACATGGCCCCTTGAAGTATAGGACAGAGCTGGAGTGCAAAGAGTAGGGGGAAGGTCGAGGGCCAGGGACCAGTTACCACCTAAGCCACCCTATTCCAGCACACATCTTGGTGGAGTCGGGAATTCTAAACTTAAACTTGGCCTTCCAGATTATGATGAAGGTATATTGTCACAATGAAAGGATAGGAATTGTGCATACCAGTTTCACTTGGTTTGTAATTTTTAAATATGTGGACTTATGATATGTGGGCCTCCACTTGTACTTCTGAGCCTGGCCCTGTAAATCTAGGGTTAAACCCATCCCTGACCACACTCTACGCAATAAAATAGCACTTCCTCTGTCACTGTAGTCTCACCCGGTTGTATAGTGCTTCTTGGCATTTGCCACCATTAGATCTATATTTACTTGTATATCCTCTCTCTGTCCCTGTCCCCAGTACAATGGAAGTGGTGACCATAGAGTCTTGGTTTTGTTTACTGTCTAATACTTAGTACCTAGAGCGGTGCCTATGGCACAAAGGAACCACTCAGTAAACGCTGAAGAAGTAATGAGTCCAGGCTCCGACGGCTTGCAGATGAGGTGGGCTAACGGAAAAAACACACAGGAAAAAGACCACGCGTGACAACCCTCTGGGGAGCTCTTTCTCCGGGTAAAATCACTCCGCCTAGGAGCTACAAAAGGTGACCAGGGTACGTTTACCATTTAACACCTTATTACACAGGAACACAAAATTAGTTATCGGGCTCCTTGTGAGAAGGACACCTGAGTACGGAAGGGCTTCGAGGAGACTGGAGAGTTAGATGTAGAGGACCCGGGCTGCTGGGAGCCCCACTGGAGGAATCGCCGCACAACCTTACGGGGGTGGCCAGACCTGTGTGCCCAGGAAACCGCGATGGCAGCGCACTGGCCGCGCCATCCGGCCCAGCGTTTAAGGCGGGGAGGGAACTTCTCCTCCGTGACTGTTGCCCTTGGACGGTCAAAGGCCTCAGCGGTGTGGGCACACGTCATGCCTGCGGGGTCATGATGATCACAGACCTGGAGACCTTCGTCTTCTCTCTCACCTGCTTCTAACTCACATCTTGTGGCGTGGAGGGAGCCCCAGAACTTTCTTGGTACGGCACGAATCGATCCAATCTATTCCCATTTACTCCTTTTCCGTTAGGTACCGGGCTCGTGAGAAGCCAAATGACCTCCTCGAGTCCCCGGCAGCCACCGGAATACCGGTCCGGGCCTCTGGCGTGGAAACGCCCCGCTCGCTTGGGGGTGGGGGCTCCCGGGCCCCGGCTGCGCTCCCTGCCGGCTGAGGCCGGAGGCGGGAACGCACTAGCCGAGCTCCCCGGCCGCCGCAGACCGCGGGGCGGGGAAGGGGGCGGCGCTGGGCCGCGGAGGGGGCGGGGCCCCGAGGCTCCTCCCCCCGACGGACGCCAGAGGAGCGGCGGAACTGCCCGGCGCCCACTCGTCCGAAACTGGTGTGCAGTGGTGGGCGCCGCGCCGCAGGATGGGCTGGTGCGGCTGCAGCTCCGGGCCGCCGCCGTCGCGGCTGCCGCTGCTGCTGCTGGTGGCGGTGGCCGGCGCCGGCGCCGCCCCGCGCTCCGCGCTCTACTCGTCCTCTGACCCGCTGACGCTGCTGCAGGCGGACACCGTGCGCGGCGCCGTGCTGGGCTCCCGCAGCGCCTGGGCCGTGGAGTTCTTCGCCTCCTGGTGCGGCCACTGCATCGCCTTCGCCCCGACGTGGAAGGCGCTGGCCAACGACGTCAAAGGTGAGGGGCGGGCCGCTGGCGGGGGGGGATCTCCTCGCGTCCCCCGGGGCGACCCCCTCCACCTGCCCAGCCGAGGGTCTCTCCCACCCGGCCCGCCTCCTCCGGCCCCGGGCCTCCGCCCATCTCTAACTCTCTGCCCCTCGCACTTCCCCCGCGGTTTTCAGCCCTCACCTCCATTTTTGGCTCCCGCGCCTTGCAGTCTCTTTCCCCTTGGCGGGTGCCCCGAGCTGCTCCCCACTCCCAGCAGGCCCTCACACCTGCTCTGACTTCCTGTGGGTCCTCAGCCGGCTTAGTGCCCCCATCCCTGCGCTGGCCTCTCCTTTGTTTCTCTAGCTCTGCTGACACCTTACGGCCTCCTCTGCTGTCGCCTGTGGCAGTCCCCTTCCTCTCGCTTGGGGACCGGTGTCGCTTCCTGCCGAATTCCCCGGCTGCTGTGGGATCAGTGCTGGGGAGAAAAAGAATGACATTCCCTCTGCTAACCCCTTGGCTGGTTGACCCAGCTGCTCCATAGACGTTTTTTCCCAGCTTTACTTTGGAGACAGTGTTCTTGTGTGGGTTCTAGGCCTCTCCCGACCTGCTGCCTGGAGCTCGTTAGCTTTTGGGCCACATCTTCTCTCTTCCTCTTGGCCACGCACCCTCTCAGACCCTTCTGTGTTAACCCGTGAACCCAGAGACCTGACTGAAGGCAGCCTCTTGGTGTGTGTTTGCCCTTGCTCCGTGTTTCTGTTCACTGGCCTGACCCGTAGCACCCTGTGTCCTCGATTCTCAGCCCTCAATTGTGAGACATACCATTCGTTTACTAAGCCTGAGGGGTAGAGAGATAACAAGACCACTAAATGTATAGAGATTTGAAAGTGTACGCTATTACAGAAATGGTAAATTAAAACAACAACAATAAAAACCTTTAGAACTGAAAAAATATGGTCATAATAGTAGTAAATATTTACAAGTGCTTCCTGTATGTCTGACACCTTTCTGGGTAAGTACATGACATGCATTATCTCCGAGTTTCCTTTCCAGAATTTGAGGATCTCTGTGGTGTCACACAGTTGCCTAGCCCAGATAGTGGGTGTTTGGTGGGTGTGGCGGTGGTGATTTGTTTCTGATTTGCTGTCTCTGAATGAAGCTACTTCCTGATTGTGGTGCTAGCTAGGGCCCTATCTTGGCTCCCAACTGAAAATGATCACTGAATGAGGACTGTGGGGGTCTTAGGGAATAGGTCTCTTTCTAGAGAGAGAACTGGAACTGCTGTTTCCTTGCTACTCTGTTGGTATTTCCTTTTTTTTTTTTTTTTTTTAAAGATTTTCTTTTTTAAAAAATTCATTTGAGAAGAGAGTGAGAGCACAAGCTGGGGCAAGGTCAGAGGGAGAGGGAAAAGCAGACTACCCGCTGAGTGGGGAGCCCAACATGGAACTCCATCCCAGAACCCGGGGATCATGACCTGAGCTGAAGGTAGTTGCTTTGCCATCTGAGCCAGCCAGGCACCCCTGGTATTTCTTAATCAGCTCAACCATTCATGGTAGAATAGTGTACTTATAGGTGTTGGTTTTCAAAGTTAGGCTCCCGTGTCCCCCAAGCAGTTCACATAATGATTACTGAAGGGGCCAGATGGAAAGATGTATACATCTCTTAGCCATGTGGTCCTGGAAAGTTATTTTTAACAAAACCGATGAACCATTTTATCTCTAGTGTACATGTGGACATGTCTGCATGCTTCTCTGGTCCCATCACCTCAGTGTGCCATGTCTCAGCCGCTCTTCACACTGTTTCAGTGATACCAACACATCTGGGCAGGGCAAGGGGGAGGAAGAGTGTTGAACATGGAACTGGAACACCTGAGGGGACATTAGGTGCTCAGGGGACCTTGTGGGCCTGAAAATCACAAAAATCCCCAGATCAGTTTCCACCTTGAGGCTATGAGAGGTCTCTAATGGCTGCGGAAGAACTTAATCTAGAAGACTCTTCTATCTTAAGAATGCTGGAGGGAAGGTTAGCTTCCAGCTGACTCATGTGTTTGACCTCTTGCAACCCAGAGTTTTCCAGTGAATTGCATAGCCAGACACTGACCCAGCTTACTCCTGGGTGAGGGTTGCCACTTCCAAAAGGGGTCTTGCCCTAGGGCATGGAGTGACAGTCTTCCCCTAAAAAATGCAAATCGAAACTCAGTCTCCAGGAAGGACAATGGAAGCACCAAAGTCTGTAGAGATGAACCACAGTCAGTGGGAAGTAGGAAACTGGAGATCTCCCAGGAGCCACGGGGACGGCCTTAACAAGATTGCGTTGGCACTGGGGTGGGGAGTTGGGGGAGAGCAGTGGCTGAATCTGGTATCAGCCTGCGATTATAGAGACTTCCCCCACTCCAGTCCAAGGGTAAGGCCCTGCTGGGAAGCAAGGGTTGTTCTCACATTATCTCTGTATTACTGAGTTTCTTTGAGAAAATGGTTGTGGGCCAGCACAGGGCTCGAACACCATCTGGGGCCTGTTGGAGTGTGCCCCCCGCCTTCTGCCAATGGTAAGAGTGTCTGGGGTAGGAGCAGTGAGAGTAGTGTGGAGGGTCATGGCGGGGGAGAAACATTTTGTAACCCTGCCCAGCTGGCCTCGCATTTCATCTTGACTGTCTAGGGCCCCTTTATTCAGTGACTTGTGGGACGGCTTCTCTGGGGCAGTTGTCCCGATGGCCAGAGCGCTGGCTTCTAAAGATCTGGTCATCCCTTTCTATTCCAGGACAGCTCTTCTTGTGTCACCGTATGTTTGGGAAATTGATTGTGTTCATCTTAATCTTCATTACTCTTCACTGGCTAATCAATCCATAAATATTTGTTGAGTGACCTCTATGTGCAGAACACTGTTTACATTGCAGTTTGGGAAATGAGCTACACACAGCGGGAGAATTGAGAATTGACAGCAGGGAAAAGCCGCGTTTGGGAAAGGCCAAAGGAGTGGCTCAGCCATTTCTGGTCGGAGCTCAGGGCAGGGTAGAGTCACAGAGGGCTAATCTGTCACCAGGCCTTCATTCAAGCAGTTATTTATTACACACTTGCCTTATACACTTGCCTGTGGGCCTTTGCAGGCCACTAGTGCGCATAGATATACACTTATGAAAAAATATCTGTGATTCGATGGGGGATTTTCGCTGTTGTTTTTAACAAGTGAGTAACGCGCCCGACATTGTACAGATACTGGAGGAGGTTCTTGAACCCGTTTCTTTGGCTCTAGAACCTAGGCAGGTGGAGAGATGGGCGAAGGAGGAGGAGTCCTCCGGGCTGGGAAAGTGCCCTCTGCCAAGCTACAGAGACGGCATTTATAAGGTGTGGATGTTTGGGTAACACTGAACAGTGGTGGTTTGCCTTCTTTTCTTTTCCATGGTGTAGGCCACCTCTCTTGTACCCCTGTGAATGCCTTAGTGCGGAGCCTGGCACAGGGTAGGAGCCCACTGGACACTTACGCAGGCCAATGGTATGACCCTCACAGGAGTCCTAATGAGAATGTAGTGACCAAGCCTGCTGCTTGTGCTATGGCTCTCCTGGACTCGGCCCTGGGGTGTCAGCCAGGTAGGTGTGAACGCCAGGGAAGGCATTTTGTCTATCCCATGACCTCACTGCCCAGAAGTCTGCAGCAGGGAGGAAGGGATGCTGTGGTGAGGGCAGGGACTGGCTAACTCCCTGTCGGGAGGACTCCTGGAGACTTGGATGGAGGTCTGGTTCTCACCACTTGACGAGTTCTTGCTGGTTTGGGTGGATCTGGCCTCTGTCTTAATAGGAGCTTGCTTAACATGGGAGGACCCATGGGTGTTTGTTCGAGTTGGAAAGGACAGGAGAGACCATCTATCCTGGTCTTTGTTGGACCCATGAGGCGCAGAAAGGAGACATGTGGAGCTCATGGTGGCCACTTCCGGCTATAAGCAAGTCATGTGACTCTGGGTCCATGCCCCTTCCTGGAGTGGTGAGTGGGGGCAGGGATACTGCCTCTGACTCCAGAAGGAGCCCATGACCCCCCCCCCCTCACTACAGGGCATCTCCTCACTCACCACCCAGACACCATAGATGTCCCCACCCTTCCCCTCTCCATGTGCTCATTTACTCTGCTGTTAATAGAGTAATAGAGAAATTACTTTGCCAGGGCAGTAATTGCACCAGGAGACATTTTTCTCTCCAAGAGTAGGGCTGAGCTGATACTGCTAATGTTAGGTGTTAAGCCGGCAGGTGGTGATGTGTAAGTCACCTGACACTTGAGAAAGCCTCCCTTGCCCGGTTCTGTTCCCCGCGGACAGCAGCGCACTTTACTTACTTGCAGCTTTGCATTACTGGTGGACCGCCCAGAGAACGGTGCTCTCCGTTCCGTGTACTCTCCGTTCCGTGTACTGGGACTAGAATGAATGGTCAGGCCCATGGTTATTAGTAGCAAACCAGCTGTTCATTGTCACTATGGCTTATCAAGGTATTGACATTGATATTCCTGAGAAACATTCCTTAGCCAGGACTCTGAGCACCTGACTGGCCCCAGCCTACCCGCCCCCCACCCACCTCCCGCGGTACCTGGGGCAGGTAAGCACAGGCACCGGTTCCATTTCACAGAGGGACAGGGAATCAAGGTATAAAGAAAGATAAGGAGTCAAAGAGCTACCCGGGCAAGGGGCTAATATTCCCAGGCATCCCTTCCCCAGGTCCCAACTAGGAACGCCCTACTCTGCCCCACCCTCCCTGGCTTTCCTGGTTGGGAAGCCGGCAGAGTAGCTCTGCTGTTCCGTCTTGGGCCCTCTTGAGACCAGAGGTTCAGATCCCAGATTCACCACTGGTGCAGTGCACCTCGGGCATGGTTCTCGGGTAGTTCTTTCACAGGGGAGGAAAGCAGGTCTGGAGAGAATAGCTTCTGTCTCTCCCTGGAGGGTCGTTGCACACTGAATGAGATACGGTAGACACAACGAACTCTCCGTACGTGTGATAACGTCATCTACGACAGTGACTGGGTGCTTGAGTTAGAGTCCTGTGTCGCTTGAGGACAGCAGTGTTTTTACCATTGTCTCTTGCATGGGGAAGGTTGTGATCAAAGAGCAAAAATAGAAGGGTAATATCCTGCCTCGGGCGAGGGGGCGAGGGAAGAGAAGTAGGTTTGAGTCTGGGGCCCTTGGAAAACTTGGAGGCTTCAGTGCTTTTTTTAGAGTCGTGGGGAGGGTACGTCCCCCCCGATCCAGGGGGAGTAGTGGAGAGAGGTCATCTAGGGCATGCTGTAGATACCCCCTGAGTGCTAGCTCCCTGTTCTCTCCCCTCCCCATCCCTTCAGCCTTCGTGCCCCAATGGCAGGGGGCAGACTCTGGCCCCAGGGATGGTGGCCTGTACTCTTGGAGAGGACAGGAGCAGCTGAGGCCTTCAGTCCTTGGTCACCTAGCCAAGTGGCTTTGTGAGGCCCCTGCCGGCAGCCCTCGCTGGTGGAAGGACAAGAAATTGTTCCCCTTCCACCTTTTTGTCTGATCAACTTACTCTTTTGAGAGGTGCCAAATCTCTCCTGAGGGTCTCCCTGCACAAGGTGACCAGAGCCCGAGATGGAGGACAGACAGAGCCAAGTCTAGAGTGTGGCAGTTGGCTGTAGGGGGTGACCTGGGCCTCCCTTGAGCAGGGAAGAAGCCACAGAAGGGCAGCCTGGGGTGCTCTTGCCTGTGATCCAGGACAAAACCCTATACCTAGGCAGCTCTTCTCGTATGCCTCACCTTTAGCCCTCGCCTGGACCCCTTATGCTGGGGCAGAGCTGGGAGACCCCGTTCTGGCACTGGAGCTGCTGGGAGCCAGGCCCTGGCCTGGGTCGACTGTGTCGTGTGGTCAGAGGTCACCTAGTGTGGGCTGCATTGTCGGGAGGCCGGGCAGGGATGCAAAAATGAAGAGGCATTTAGGGACAGACAGGCTTGTGACCATGGAGGTGGCCAGAGCAGGGCCCTGAACACGTCGCTCACCCAGGCGGGCCCCCTGTCAGCTAAGTGACAAGCTTGCAGTCAGTCTCTCCCCTTGGTCCCCAGGGCTGGCCTACCCCGTGTCCGCACCCAGTTAGGGCTCTGAGCCACATGTTGGGCCCAGGCCGTCACCACCCCACAGTGTGTGTGGAGCTTGCCTTCCAGCCCAAGCAGGCTTGCTGTAACAGGGAACTTTGGTAGGTGCCCGAGGGGCCCCGGACCCAGGCTCAGGGGGCCTGCCTGGTAGAGAAGTCGGTTTTCTGTTTCACAGATCTTGGGCCGTGGCCCAGAATGGTGCCATTATTTCCTCTGCAGGCGAGTTTCAGTGGAGGGAGGCCGGCAGCCTGGAGTCTGTTGTAGGAGCGGGTGCCCAGGCAGCTCAGGGAGCCTTTCATCTATCTCCTTCCAGACTCTGGCCTCAGGGCTTCTTTCCCGGTGGTCCCTCGCTTCCAGGTGCCTTTCCCTCCCTCCCTTGGGCTGCCTGCCTCCCTCTCTGGCGGGGGAGCCAGTCCTCACCACCTCTGTGCCACCCGGGCAAGCGGGGCTGACTGCCAGTACCTTCCCGAGCATCCACTCGGAGTTGCAAACCTCACCCTTCTGGAACTGATGCTCTCTAGAGGACAGCAGGGACAGAGGCCATGTCAGGGGTCGCTGGGGGTTCAAGCTCATCTCACATCTTTCTTCAGCCCCTGCAGCCTCCGTGCCCCCCCCCCCAGAATAATGGAGAAACACAGATGCCGTCCCAGGAGAGCCCGCCCTGTGCTACTTAGCCACGTCCTAAGCACGGACTGAGTGTGGGATGACCAGACCATCTCAGCGTTCCTGAGGAACGGATGCCCTTCCTCAGGAGAGCCCCAGGGGCAGGTGCTCTGGGCATTGGTGTGGCTGGAGTGTGGCACGGGGCAGGTGAGCAGGCAGAGGTGCCGGCCCCTCTTACTGACCTCATTGTTTTTCTTTTCCTTCCAGACTGGAGACCCGCCCTGAATCTCGCTGCCCTGAACTGTGCTGATGAGACCAATAGTGCAGTCTGCAGAGACTTCAACATCCCCGGCTTCCCGACCGTGAGGGTGCGTGACAGGGGCGGGGGAGCAGGTGTGCTGCTGGAGGAGCGTGTGGCCGGCTGCCCCATGCCCCCCTGGCCCCGGAGCTCCATGGGTCTCCCATGCTTCTGGGCTTGATCAGCTTCGGTCACAGCCACTGGAGCACTGTCCCCGTGCTTGAAGAGACCCCTGCCACAGAGGCAGACAGGGGTATGAATTGGGAGGTTCGTTGGGTCTGGCAAGTTCTGCCCCTTAAAAAGGAAGGGGCTGTGGCAGGGGAGGGTAGTTATGATGGGCTGGTTTCAGCTACTCTGATTTGAGCTGTGAGGTGGTTATCGCCTGGGCTGGTGAGATCCCACAGCTCCCAAGGGCCTCTTTCCATTTCTTCTCCCTCCTGACTCCCAGCCTTAGAGGCCTGCTCTAACCCTATAAACCCCAGTTCGGGCTCTGACCCGCACACGGTCAAGATGAGATTCAGGAGGCCTGATGATCTTCCAGAAAATACCAGCAAGCTTCCTCCTCATCAGGCAAGTGCCTTGAATCCAAGTAGTTCAGAAGTGACCTGTCAGGGTAGCCTCACCCCGTGGTCAAACACCAGTGCCTCAGGCAGCAGAGATCCCCATCACGGGAGTCATCACACCCGGCACATGAGGGCTCTGTCACCCCGGCTCTGGCTGAAAGTAGCGTGAGCTCTCCAGTGAGGCCTTACCTGACAACCTGCCCACTGTGGGGCATCGACAGCTTAATTACCATCTGAACAACTTCCAAGGCTCTGGGAAGCCGAGAAGGGCAAGGCTGTGCAGTTACACTCAGTGCCCTTCCAAGGGCTCAGGCCCAGCTATAATGCAGTTAGTTTGCTTCCACATTAAAGAATCAGAACCTTTCTCCCTACCTCCAGCTGTAATTAGCCTCTTTCTACCAGAATGGCATCTAGAAAAGCATTTCTTCTATAACCACTAAGAATAATCCGGAAAGGCCTCTGAAAGCTAAAATGCCAAGTATTGTCCCCTGAACAAGATATCTGAGCTCAGGGTCCTCAAGTTCTGAGCAGAACCATGAGCTGAATCTCAGCCTAATTACTCCAAGAGAATTTGTCTGGAAAGCCCGGCTCCAGAAGGAATGTCCAGCTTGAACTCCATGTGACCTTTCTGTTCCTCATGCCCAGTGAAATCCTGCTGGGCTCGAGATCCCCACAGACTGAGAGGGCTCCGTCCAACGTTCTTGTTACCACTTGGGGACCAGTCCTAGGCCCCAGGTTTAGCCAAGACCAGACTGGTCTGGGGAACAGGTCCTGCCGTATCACTTAGAGGCCCCAGGAGAGAGATGGCTTATCAGTCATCTCTTTCAAGTCAAAGACCTCCCTAGCAGGGCCATTGCTTTGCCATATCCTCATCTCAAAACATGTAACTGAAAATATTCCAAATTACTCTTCAGGGGTGGACGAGGATCTCTGTTGCTTTGGCTGAACCAGGGTGAGCAGCCCTGTGTGAAAAGTTGTGGGAAAACCAGTGCGTCTGGAAGAGTCCTCGTTCACAGGCTGCTGCTTTTCTCAGCGAGGACTGGCCCTGGGGGTCCAGCCCCCTGGGAATGGGACGGGCATTGGTGCCAGGGCCAGGTCAGGACATCTGGAGGGAGGAGGCAGGTTCTGTGGGACCTGGCACCCGAGGCTTGGTGTTTCTACCTGGGAGAGGCCGGGGCTCGGTGGATGTGAGGGAGGTCCCCAAGTTCCCGGCGCCTACCCAAGTCACGCAGCACACGCAGCCTGAATGCCTCGTATGATTAATCATGTCCTGCCCCGCCCAGCTGGCTGTGGGATGGGAGCTGGGAGGGCCCAGAGCTGGTCGTCTAGACCTTCCCCAGCCTCCACACGGGCAGTGCCTGGCTGGGCCTGGCAGTTCAGTTTCAGCCGGGAAAGGCCCTCAGTGCCCTGTCCTCTGGCCTCTACCCCAGGGGCCAAGTGCTTCTAGATCCCGCTGGGTCTCTGCTCTAAGGCGCGACCGAGTAAGATACGTACACTTCACAGAGAGATCCAGAAGTTGGTTTGTGTGTGATCGCCAGCTCGAAAGTTTCATAAAACGATATTCATTCTTTCTAAATGCAGTACACGCTGCTATTTTCTATTCCATATACTTTTTAAATTAATTTTTTTTTAATTCTAGCTGTGATTCACTAAATTGATGCTACAGTTTAGGTTGCTTCTAATGCTTGCAAAAGGCCGCTCTCTACAGATCGTAGATCTCCACAGAGTCTGGCGTGCCTGTAGGCATCATGGCTGGACTCCCTGGAAAGCAGTGCAGACCCTCCAGGTCGGCCTGGCTGTCAGTGGGCTGGAGAGAGCGCCCTGTGGCCCTGTGTGCTGCGTCCCGGGGGCTGGGCGGGTTCTCACTCCTATGCATAAAGGCTGTGAGAACTCTAAGGTGAGGGCACACACTGAACAGGGGAAGAGAGAGTGTTGCTGGTATGATGGACACAGACCCACACATGAGTCTGGGCCACCCCCAGGTACAGGTGTCATTGTCCCTTTCCTCCGCCTCCTGCCCCTTGTCACCATTCGTAGGCAATGAGCTTCCACTAGCCCAGCCTGTTTAGCAAACACCAGGCCCTGCAGGGCCTGCTGTGTCAGGGGCCCTTCAGACCAGCCAAGCTCAGCGGGAAGAAAACAAAGGTGTGGGGGAGGGAGGGAGGAACTAGCTGGCAGCAGGTTCTGGCTGGAGCTTAGGGAACCTAGAGGCTGGATCTCGAGGGGAGGGGCCTTGCCATGGGCCACAGGAGTGCCCTCAGGGAGTCATCCATAAGGACCCCTTGTAGCCAAAGGCCCAGCTGGGATTAAGATTGCAGAAGGCATCAACATTGGGGTGGGAGAGGACAGAAATCTCCCCTTTGCAAGATCCTTAGGTAATTGATGTGGGTTCAAATTCTGGTCCCACGGCTTACTACTGTATGTACTAGATATGACTCAGAGTGTTTAACAGTGCCTCGGCGACAGGCCTCAGTTTCCTTCGTCTCTAAAAAGTGGGATGATAGTATCTATACCTAATAGGATTGTTGCCAAGTGTGAAGTGAGGTCTTACACGCGAGAGGGAGGAGACACCGGGTGGTATTACTTGGAGTTCAGTTAATGTCACTCGGCTTCCTTCCCGCTGTCCTGTCTCCTCCCTAAGTCACCCTGTGGAGCTCCCGGTAGCTCCTCTGTGGGCTCTGCATTTAGGCCGTCCGTCTGTCCATCCATCAGCAGCTGTTGAGTGAGTTGAGTGAGTACTTGCCGGGGGCCGACTTGGTGCTCACCAACCCGCCAGCAGGCGGTGAGTGATCCATATGCGGTAGATGCCAGAGGAGCTCACCTGGGCTCACTGAGCCCTTTCCCTCACGTGTCAGAGAGGAGGGGACTTCCACTCGGTGTTGGAGGATATATGGGTCTGGGCTAGGAGGGGAGGAATGCCGGCCGGGGAGGAGGTAAGAGCAGAGGCCCTGTGTGGGCAGAAGTGTGTCACAAGTTGAGAAGACTTGTCTGGCTGGGGCAGAGGCTCCTGGGCAGGGTTGAGGCAGGGCTGAGGCAGGGTTGTGGCAGGGCCCTGAACTCAGGGCTGGGAGGTGGATACACTTTGGGGGTACAGAGGCTCGACTGTTACCTTATGTGGCTCTTGTGATGGGGGAGGCGTCAGAGGGGGTGACTCCTGCCTCTCTCTGGAGGAAGGATATGGGCCCCCACCCCCCTGCTGTCCTCCGGCCTCCTCCACAATCAGTCTCCAGCGTAGGGATGGTTAGGCGTGTGGATCCTCCTGGGCTCACTGTAAGCTGTTTGGAGATGGGGTCATTTTCCTCGGAACTTGTTTTAAAAGCTGGGCCTCAGTGTCATTGATTATTGCTGCTGGGAAGTGTGCTGCCCGTTCAGCCTTGACTCCTAGAAAGGCAGGTGCTCCTTGATATTGGTGTTGATTTTTGACAGTTTGGTAAGACCCACCTTGTGCCTCTGGGGAGCCGTGGAGGCCTTCCAGGAGCACCAGCGCTGGGGAGGGCAGAGGCTAGTGATGGAAGGAAAGGGTCCCGGTGCCAACCGCTCCTGGAAAAAAGAAGACTCACTGCTCACATCTTAAATACCTGTTCCCAAGGAGTGGTGGTGGTTTCCCCTAGGGAGGCACACGCCTCCAACAGCTGACTTAAGAAGGATGCCTTTTAATAGGAGGACAAAAATGTGCCCTGACTAGATTTTAATATGATTTTCACATGAGCATCTATGGTGATCAAAGGACAGAGAGTTTCTCTGTTGGACTGAATAGATGTCTTTTGAGTACTTCCATGTCCTAGACACTGTGGGGCTTGCCGAGATGCCGAAGTGTGGTCCTGTCCTCAAGAAAGTTCAGGTTCGGGGCACCTGGGTGGCTCAGTGGGTTAAGCCTCTGCCTTCAGCTCAGGTCATGATCACCGGGTCCTGGGATCGAGCCCCGCGTCAGACTCTCTGCTCGGCAGGGAGCCTGCTTCCCCGTCTCTCTCTACCTGCCTCTCTGCCTACTTGTGATCTCTTTCTCTCGGTCAAATAAATAAATAAAATCTTAAAAAAAAAAAAAAAGAAAGAAAGAAAGGAAAGAAAGTTCAGGTTCCAGGCCCATCATAGCCAAAGTGTAGGAAAGAAGGGCAGTGGAAGATAAGTTTCAGTGTTTGGGTCAGATCCTGGAAGGCTTTGAGCACAGTGAGTTTGGACATTATTCACTGGTAATGGGGAGTCGTGGAAGAGATTTGAGGAGGAGGGACACGATCAGACTAGAACAGTGCCACTAAGCAAAGTGCAATGAGGAGCAGTTGGAGAACAAAAAGATGGAGCAGATGAACATTTCTGAGCTCACAGACTGGTAAGGACTGTTGCATTAGTCTAGGAAATAGATGGTAAGCCCTTGTCCGGACAAGGCAGCCGGCCCAGAGCACTGCTGAAGAATCACAAGGTCAAGTTCATAGATCTTGTCCTCTGACTGGCAGATGGAGGTTGCGGGGGAGAAGATGCTGGTCTGGTTAATGGGGAGGACATGGGGTGAGACAAGGAACACAGATGGAGAAACAAGTTGGGGGAGGGATGACTCGGTCTTGGTCGGGGGGCTGGTACCCGTGTGGAGGGCACCAGGAGGAAACAAGTCTAGGACAGGTGAGGACTTGAGACAAAGGGTTCAGATGGCAAATCATTTAGACCAAGTACATGATGTTGGCAAGGAAGACAAACAGTAGGCTTGTTTGTTCACTCATGTACTTGCTCCCTCATTCAAAAACATGGACACACACACACACACACACACATGTTTGTGACAGTACTTCCCAGAGAAGAGTGTCGAGCTGATACGTGGCAGGAGGAGAGACTGGGGCAAGAGATCATGGGGGCAGTAGACAGGAAAGGAGTCAGGGGAGTGGCTAGGACAGGGCTAGGGGAAGGCTGGGAAGGTGGCCAAGCAGGCCTGGTCAGTGTCGGATGAATCAAGGGAGGTGGCAGCAGGAAGGCCAAGAAGGAGCACATCGGCATATGTGGTACCAAACATGGCAGACCCTGGCCCTGTGGGGAGGGCAGGCAGTGCCACCATGAGACACAGCAGAGAAAGCAAGTGGTGGGGGGGTACAGTGGGATCAGAGAGGGGCAGTTGGAGAGGCAGAGCAGACACTGCTTCGAGAAATCTGTCAGCCCAGGGAATCGGGACATGCTGTAACTGGAGCAGGGAGGAGGGCCTCTCTCGATTCCCATCTGCCTGTCCTTCATGTCCCTTTTTTTTTTTTTCTTTTTTTTAAGGAATTAAATTAAGAGGATCGGAATCTACTTGCAGGCCTAGGGAATTTGCTGGCAGAAAGGGGAAAGAGAGGTTAATTGACAGAAAAAAGTTCCTCAGAACATGAAGTGGGAGCCAGAGCTCCAGTGCTGCCGTCCCTCTGGAAGGCAGATGGGAGGCTTCTGAGGGCAGGAGGGAAGGCCGTGTGTGTGACAGCACAGGGGAACGTGGAAGGACATGGAGGGACTTCCCGTGACCCTGCACTTCAAGGACTGTGTCTCCGAGTCCCTGCATTCCCCTGGGTCAGTCTTGCTGGGGCTCCTGCCTGACCCCTCACAAGCCGGGCCCTCAGAACATTCAGCCAGGGGCCGGCAGGCTGCCTCTTGATGGAGGTAAGGCCAGCCGCCTTGCAGTGAGGCACCTGCTCAGATCCGGGGGAGGCTGTGGTGGCCGAAGAAAAGTGACCACGCTGCTGAAAATAACAGCTGTAGCGGCGCGGGTCCGCCCTGAATTCCCACCATTCAGGGAACTTGTGAGCATTTTTACAAGTGTTAGGGTAACGTGTAATCTCACTCAAAATTTGTTCAGTGACTGCAAAGGATATTATTATAAATATACATGGCATGTATCAGCAGATGGTTTCCACCCAGAATAAAAGTTTATATTGATGGTCTAAGAAAAGAGAATAAAACAACAGGACTTAGGAGCCGGGTAAGGGCTGGGGGAACAGGATAAGGTTGCAGGTGGCAAGACATGGGAAGGTGGGCAGGTGACGTCCAGATTTTCGTGTTCTGCCTACAAATGACTAGAATAAATACATGCTAGCTGATCAGTGTTTCCTTTTTTTTTTTAAGATTATATTTATTTATTTGACAGAGATCACAAGTAGGCAGAGAGGCAGGCAGAGAGAGAGGAGGAAACAGGCTCCCTGCCGAGCAGAGAGCCCAACGCGGGGCTCGATCCCAGGATCCTGGGATCATGACCTGAGCCGAAAGTAGAGGCTTTAACCCACTGAGCCACCCAGGCGCCCCTGATCAGATTTTTCTAGCGTTTAGAAGGTGGAACAAGGGAAGGGGGTGATAATCACCCTGCAGGTAACATGTATTAATCCCCTACTGTATGCATGAGCCACAAGCGCTGGAGACGTATCATCTTTGAGTCCTCACAGCAGTTCCTTGAGGTGATGGCGCCATCCTTGTCTTAAAAATGAGAAGGGATTGCCCAAGGTCACCCTGCAGGGGTATGGCAGAGCCAGGTCTGGTGCCCAAGTCTGGTAGACCCCGGGGCCTGCACTCAACCGCCAGCTTGGGAGAAGTCCGGATGGATGGCCATGCCGTTGCAGCAGAGGCCCGAGGAAGCTACAGGTGGCCCCAGATCTCAGGAAGAGTCTTCTTCCCAGCCCGCAGGCTCTCTGCCAGACACTCAGGTGGCTGTCTATCTGTCAGGACCACTAAGCTTGACTCCCTGCTGAGCCCGTGAGAGCACAGGCCAGAGCTCTAGCAGCAGTCTTGCCACTTAGGCAGAAGCCCAGATTCTGACAAGTTGTCTTTGTTCTCTCTGTCCTCTTGCCCAAGGAGGTGACAGACTGAGCCCGGAGTGTCCTGTAAATGGGAAAAGGGGACAAAGTGATGAGTGCAGTTGACCTGTCTGTAACTAGACTTGTGTCTGCAGGGGCTCAGGCCCACCCTTCAGCAGGACCTGACCTGGAGACCCCTCCCTTCACGGGGTGTCTGCCGAGCCAGGCTGCGAGTTCTCCGTGGACAGACCCCAGCCGCTGGTGATGGTGGACAGATTGCCTCAGAGGGCAGCTGACACTTCCCGGGGGACGTATGAAGTGACTTTGTTTCGTCAGTTAAGTCAGCCTTATCCACTCAGTCATGCAATGAGTATTTTCATTCATTCGTTTCAAGTCGGAGAGACTGTCCGCCACTCGTGGAGTGTGTAGGCTGCTCCTGTGTGTCCCGGGTGCGTCAGAGCCACGGGGGTGGGGATCGGATGCGCGGACAGTGGGGACAGGAATCAGTGTGCAGCTCCGATACCTCCCTGTTCTCCTTACAGACGAGGGAACTGAGGCTCAAAAAAGTTAAGTCATTTGCCCGAAGTCAGCCTCTTTAGTAAGCAGCAGGTCTCAGACACCGATCCCTCTGGCCCCCGTGTGGGAGTCTTAGCTCCGTGTGTTACTGACTCTTGCCCGTGTGTTTGCTTCCAGTTCTTTAAGGCCTTTTCCAAGAATGGCTCAGGATCAGCATTGCCAGGTGGGTGTCCTGGTTCCAGTTGTCAGTATCTTCTTTTTCTTTCTGATGGGTTCCTGCTGAGATGAGGAGAGCCCAGCAAGTTCCGTAGGGTGAACGGTTTCCTAAGTGGAAATGGAGTTTTGTGTTTTCCTGGGGCCTTCCCGGCCAGCCTGGACGATGCCTTCTGGAAAAGGGGGCTGAAGAAACCCTTCTGTTTTGCTCTATTCAGGGTCCTGGGAAGAGGGGAGGGTCGCCATGAACCCAGACTAACCCGTCATGTCAAAATGGGGCTGGCATCCAGAGGGACAGAGCAGACATCCTCCAGGGAAAAGCACTCACGGGCTCCAGGCCAAGGGGCTGCTTCCTGCCCTCTGAGGGATGGGTCTTCTCGTGTAACTTAGGGCCACAGAAGAAGACCCCACCGCACTGCTCTAATAGAGAAGGACTGACCCATGCTCTGTTTCTCTCAGAACTAGCCTGTGCCCCGGGCCCTTTGTTTCAGCAAAGCTGACAAGGCCATTGGGATTATTCCTCCCTCCTCATGCGCCCCCTCCCCCATGTCCGTCTTCATCCAGTGGCTGGTGCTGATGTGGAGACGCTGCGGAAGAGGCTCATTGACGCCTTGGAGTCCCATAGTGACACGTGGCCCCCCGCCTGCCCCCCGCTGGAGCCTGCCAGGTATGCGGGGCTGGAGCAGGTGTGGTGCGGTGTGGGCCAGGATCGCAGGCCTGGGATTGAGAGGGTAGCGGGGACAGCTGCGTAGGGGATACGAAGGCCTTTGTCTCTGGGGCAGACCCTCTGTGGGCTAGAGCCCGGAGCCGCTCTGGAGCCACTGGTAGGAGACTCCCTGTCGCTGGAGGGCCTCCCTGCGGAGCCCTGGCTTTACAGGGCGGAAGGGTGCAAGGGAAGGAAGAGATGGGCGGGGGTTCTCCGGGCCATGCCTGCCTCTGCTTTTCACAGCCTGCGCTCAGGAATGTTTGTGGGGTGCAGCAGACTTCACAGGATCTTACCCAGAGGGGGCACTGACAGAGTGGACATGGGGACGAAGAAGGAAGGCTCAGAGGAAAAGGGAGCCCTGCCTATAAGAGGAAGTGGTCATCTTTCTGAGCGGTGGCTGTGACGGGGGGTGGGCCACACGGCTGGTGGCCCGCATCTGCCTGCCAGGCAGGCTTCCAAGATTGCCTCTTCTAGAAGGAAGGGGCACGGTGCCTCGCTTCAGCTCTCCCACAGAGGGTAAACTGAGAGCACTAGGTCTCGCCCTCCTAGATGAGAACTTGAGACAGGATAGAGCCCGCCTCAGGGATTCCTGCCAAGAAGGAGCAAATCTGGGTACCAGCAGGCACTGCTGGAGGGAGCCCAGCCTCAGAGCACAGGGAAGATCCCAGGGCCTGAGGAGGCTCATGAAGCAGGCGCTGGGGCTCCAGGCCCCCCACATCGATTTACTCATGTTCTTGAAAGCAGTAGTCCTGCCGACAGACTATGCTGCTAGCGTCAGTTGGGGTTGAATCCAACCCGCAATTTTTTTTTTTTTTTATCAGCTTGTCCAAGTGTCCCTCCTCCTAGAGGGTCCCACAGAGACCCTGGGCCCAGTGTTATTCTTGGTATGGTTTGGGGCTGCCCTAGACCCCTTCTCTCCGGGAAACATTCCTGCCAGCCTGCCCTTACTTACATTTCTCAGTGACCGTGTCCATCTCTCTCTCTCTCATGCACACACATCCTTCATGGTGCGTTTTCAGTCCCACGGATCTCAGAAGCCGCAGGTCAGGAAGACCTGCCAACCTCATGGGTCCTAAACATTGTCTGTATTCACTCAGCCTTGCCCTTACCAGAACACAGAGACTGCTGGTCTCAAAGCCCCCCTCCCGTCCTCCTCCTCCTCCTGCTCCTCCCGAGGCCACCTCATACTCACTCCAGATTCTTAAAAGAGACAGCGTGGAGGGGAAAAAAATCAACAATGTGGGCCAAACAGAGAAGCAGCTTGTGGGGAAGCAGAGGCAGCGTCCTCTGAGACTAAGGGTTTGGCTTGCTCCCCCTGGAGGGCTGGCGGGGGCGACTTCCATGGAGCCTCGAGTGGGAACAGGACGGGGATATATGGCTGCCCCCATAGTTTTGTGACAGGCGTGCTGTCCCCAGCAGGTCACTGCCGCTCTTGTCTCTTGCAGGCTGGAGGAGATTGATGGATTCTTTGCGAGAAACGACAAAGATTACCTGGCCCTGATCTTTGAAAAGGAAGGCTCCTACCTGGGTAGAGAGGTGAGCTCCCCCCAGGGTCCCTGCAACCCCAAGGTGGACGTCAGCAGAGAGCCCAGTGAGTTCAGGGGCTGGGCTGTTCTGGGGTCTCGGCCACGTGCACGTCTTAGCCCAGCACTGGCCTGACCCCTGCTGGAGGACCCAGGAAGTGTGGGAACTGGGCCTTTCCGTGGGAAAACCTTTGTCTTTTTTCTCTCTCTCGTTGACCGCGCCTCTGCAACACCCGCTGTTCACTGAGCACAGGACTAGAGTGCGGCACACGTAGTCGCTAATCTTCACAATTAAGGTTGATGATCGGGTAACAGGTTGAAGGGCCCCGGGCCAGTGGATTGGTGGAGCAGGGCTTTGAACCAGGTCTGTGAGTGCCGCAAGCCTGGTGGTTTCCACACCGCCCCACCCCTGCGGAACTGGAGCCTGGGTGTGGGGAGGGGCGGTCAGAGCTCGTTCGGGGACTCGGGAGGAAACAGTAACCGAACAGGCAGGTGTGAATTACTGCCCCATGGTGACCTGTCTGTCTGCCCCAAGCCCTGTTTCCCTGTCTGGAAAGCGTGATTGTTCCCTTTCCTCAGAGCACCTCTGGCACAGACGAGGCAGGTTAGGGGAAGGGCCTGGACTGGTAGCTGGTGCAGAGTAGGTGCTTTTTAAAGATCCGTTCCCCTGGCCTAATGCAGAGAGCTCTCCAGTCTGCCGCGGGCGCACAGACTTCTCTACACCCCTTGTGGGCTTTTCCCAGACGCGAGGGGGGACGGGCCAGGCCATGGGTGAAGTCCCAAGGCAATGCAGGGATGCAGAAGAGGCACGAGGTGGAGATGAAATTAAACACGACTGCTGGCTCCGACTGCTTTCCTCCTGAAATTCCTCAAGCATATCCAGGGTGCTGCGGGCTGCCTCCAGGCCTCTGAGCCCTGAGAGGGGAAACAGAGGACGATGGGGAGGGGCACGGAGCTTTGCTGAAGGACTTCCTGACCCTTCTGGGGTCCCAGTCCAGGCCTAATGACGAGGAAGTGATTAATAAATGTTCATTGGAAACAGATCTTCTCCCTACTGTCCCGCAGGGCCAGGTACCCTGTGTCCACGCAGAGGTGCTCAGAGATGGTTAGTGTGAGAAGCAGGAGGGCTCAGTAGTCAAGAGCCCAGACCCTGGAGCAAGTTTAACTGGGGTGCATTGCCCAGTCCCGGCACTTCCTGCCTCTGTCCCCGAGCACTTGATTTCACTGCTTAGCCTCTGTGTTCTCGTTTGCAATAAACATTTTAGTTTTTTGGTTTTTTTTTTTAAGATTTTTTATTTATTTATTTGACAGGGAGAAAGATCACAAGTAGGCAGAGAGGCAGGCGGGGTGGGGGGAAGCAGGCTCCTTGCTGAGCAGAGAGCCCGATGCGGGGCTCGATCCGAGGACCCTGAGATCATGACCTGAGCCGAAGGCAGAGGCTTAACCCACTGAGCCACCAGGCGCCCCAAGACATTTTAGTTTTTTAATGAACACTTATATACCCCAGTTACTTAAACATGCCCCAGTCACTGTTACACATTTCATAAAATTAACCCCTTTGGTCCTTTTAACAGCCCTCTGAGGTTGGTATGTGTGTTATTATTCCAGTTTTGCAAGTAAAGAAATGGAGTCGGGGAGGTTTAGGCCAGTGGGGCCAGGATGCAAACGCAGGCAGCCCCCGGCTTGGTCTCCTAATAATAGTTCCCATCTCATAGCATTATTTTGAAGATTCAATGAAGCGATCCATAACAGTCATAATACCTTCTCAGTAAATGTGAGCTAACACGATTTTCCCCCTTATTTCTTTCTAAAAATAAAATCATGTCTAAGTATGTTTTTCTGATTTGGAATAGAGATAGAAAGCCTTGTAAATATAAGAATAAAAATGAAACCACATTTTATTATGCCTTCTACAAATTACTTTCATTAGAAAGAAAATTGCATTAGATTGGACTGCCCTAGGGAATTCAAGGCGTGTGGTGTGCACAGTTCCAAGGCCCCTGTCCTGGGTAGCAAGTGCCTCTTGTCGCCTGTGGGGTAGTTGTGGTTGGTGGCAGGAGACTGCTGGCACACTCGTCCACTCCCCAAAAGGCTTAGAGTCTGGATGGTGCCCGCCCAGGGCTCCCTCTGCCCAGTGGCTGGGCCCCCGCCCCCACCATGTCTGTCTGTTTCCACAGGTGACTCTGGACTTGTCCCAGCACCAAGGCATAGCAGTGCGCAGGGTCCTGAACACGGAGGGTGATGTGGTGAGCAAGTTCGGGGTCACTGACTTCCCATCTTGCTACTTGCTGTTTCGGAATGGCTCTGCCTCTCAGGTCCACGTGTGAGTGCTGTGTGTCCCTCCGTCCCCTCTCTCCTCTCCCCCTGCCCACATCCCGCCTTCCCGCCTACAGAAGCCTGCCATGTTCTTCCTCCTACAGTTGCTCTGAGGAGCCCCCTTCTGCAGGAGAAGCAGCTGTGTATGGAGTGGGTGGGCAGTGCCAGGCACGCGGCCCCCCGGCCTCCAGCTCAGGAGTCCGGTCTTGGGCCCCTGGTGCACTCGCCGCTGCTCCAGCGCCATCGCCCTGGCAGCCCTGCTCTAGTCCCCATCCTCCGCGGTTCACAGACTCCTTGGCAGGCTGCGGGCCTGGCACTCACTCAGATATGCCTGACCCTCCCTCCCTTTGGTTTTCTAATTGCAGAAAAGTTCATTAGGAGCTAGACAATAGCCAGTTCCAAAATGCCAAGAGAAAACAATCAGGCCAGCCTCAGCCCCTCTGTCAGGCTCCTGCTGCTGAATGGCCTGTTAAATGGCGCCAGATGGTGCCTCGGTGCCCTCCCTGGGCAGATGATTGATGTCGCCTGGCTCCTGCCGGCAGGACCTCAAGGGCCAGGGAGACCAAGACTTGCCTGAGGTGCCCAATGAGCTGCCCTGTGGGGCCGTTAGCGCAATCCCGGAAGGAGGCCCGGCAGGGCAGCCCCTGGCCCTTGCCGGCCCCAGTGGCCAAACAGCACTGGGCCAGCCTCGTCAGGGAATTCCGCCGGGGGAGGGAAGCGTGTGGCAGCAGAAGGACAGGGAGGGACAGAAAGTGCCAGTCCTGGTGGGGACAGGAGGCATTGTCTCCTCACTTGGAGCTGGTGGAGGGGAAAATTGTTTGTGACGACGCTGCTCCTGAGCCATCTGCTGGGCGATAAACATCGGGCCGGGACAGCGGTGTGGAAAGCGGTGCTTCCCGGTGCCAGCTCCCCCGGGGTGTCCCCTCACGTGGCTGCTGGTCTTCACACCCTCCCTCCAGGCGGCCGTGACCAGGAGGTGTCGCCTGCCCTGAGGACTCTCTGTCAGAAGAGAGAAAAATCAAAAGGATTGTACAAGGATTAGAGAATTTAGTGTTGTTGTTATTACTGCCTGTTTTTAAAAAATCAGGTATCAAACCCCCTTGATTTCCTTGGGGAGTAGGGCCACCTCTGGTACCTCAAAGCAAGCTCGTGAGTGGGCAACCTCCTTTGGTCTCCGGCAGAGATAGTCAGACCCAGCCATCCTGTCCATGGGCAGAAGTAGCTCCGTCCCACAGCCCCTCCAGGGCAGGCTGAGGAATTCTCAGACCTGCCGCTTTTCCAGATGGGGCTTGGGCCTCAGACTGGTGTCAGAGAGCCTTTCCACAGCATGAGTAGTGGGTGGAAAGGCTAAAATAAGGCCTGGGCGCCTTGGTTTGACCTCACTGAGGATGAGATGTAACCAGATTCAAGTATGTCTTTTTTTTTTTTTTTTTTTTTTTTTTGAGATTTTATTTATTTGACAGAGACAGCAAGAGAGGGAACACAAGAAGGGGAGTGGAAGAGGAAGAAGCAGGCTCCCCTCTGAGCAGGGGGCCCGATGTGGGGCTTGATCCCAAGACCCTGGGATCAAGACCCAAGCAGAAGGCAGATGCTTAACGACTGAGCCACCCAAGTGCCCGAGATTCAAATATTTCTTTCTTTTCTTTTTTTTTAAGATTTTATTTATTTATTTGACAGACAGAGATCACAAGTAGGCAGAGAGACAGGCAGAGAGAGAGGAGGAAGCAGGCTCCCTGCCGAGCAAAGAGCCCGATGTGGGGCTCGATCGTAGGACTCCAAGATCATGACCTGAGCCGAACGCAGAGGCTTTAACCCACTGAGCCACCCAGGCGCCCCTGGATTCAAATATTTCTTAATAAACATTTCTGTCAAGGGGCGCCTGGGTGGCGCAGTTGGTGAAGCATCTATAGCTCTTGGTTTTGGCTCACGTCGTGATCTCAGGGTCATGGGATCAAGCCCCATGTCGGGCTCCACACTCAGCACAGAGTCTGCTGGAGATTCTCTCCTTCTCCCTCTGCCCCTCCTGCCTATGCTCGCTCGCTCGCTCTGAAATAAATAAATAAATCTTTAAAAAATAAATTAAAAAAATAAACATTTCTGTCAGCTGAGCCACCTGCCTCCTCTCCTGACATGATTTTGTCCTGGGGTCTCTTTCTCCATACCCACTGCCTCCCCTCTGGTTTCTTCCCTCACAGGCTTGCGGAATCCAGGTCCTTCTACACCACTTACCTGAAGAGGTTCTCCAGGGCCCCCCAGGAGCCTGTCCCCACCAAGGCTGTGCCAACCACTGCTCACACAATAGCTCCCACTGTGTGGAAAGTCGCAGATCGGTAAGGCCACGCCCCCTTGCCTCCCCAGAGCCTCACCTCTGATCACAGAGCCCCGGCCTCCATACCACACTCTGGTCCCTATCTTGAGCTTAGCACATGCCTTTCCAATCGCAGACCCCCTGAAGCCTGGCCTTGGCCTTTGGGCTCCCCTGGCTGCCGACCACACACAGAAGAGTCATAGTTGTTGGGATCAAGCAGCAGTCACCCAGGGGCCAGCCCCGTGTCTGCTGACTGTGGGAGGTGCCAGACAGCACTTGCTTGTGTAAGTGATGGAGTGAACACTTTCCAATGCCCACATTCCTTAAACTTAACGCGATTCAAGAGCAAGTGGGATCAGCTTGGAGGGATACCCTGTGGCCTTCTGACCAACTTCCCACCCGAGCAGCCATCTCTTCTGCAGATGTTTTTGAGTACCTGCTACCCACTAGGCACTGTAATTCGGACACACACAGATATGCAGTCCCTTCCCCCAGAGTTTACAGCCCCTTCCAGGAGGTCACTGACCTCTTCTGAATGCCTCTGGTGCCGGAGAGCTCACTACCTTCTGGGCTAGCCTGTATCTTTGTGCATAGACATAACCATGAGGAAGCTGCTTTTCTCTCCCAAGCCCCTTGGCTCTGCTCTTGCAGCAGAATTCCTGCTCGTTGGGTAGGAGATGGGGCTCTAAGCCTCTTAAGCTGGCACCGGCGGTATGCCAAGGAGAAATGGCTGACCGGGCGGCTCAGAGCCGCATCGGGAAGGTGGCCTCCACGAGGAGACGGTACAGGAGAACTGAGGGAGAGGTCATCTGATTTCCAGAGGGTTTTGCATCCCAACATGAAGGACTTGCAGGGTAGGAAGTGAGAGTTTTAGTAAATTGGGTAAGAAGGAAACAGAGACCTAGACGTGGGAACTGTCATCACGGTCGTTCACATTATGATGACTCCCATCGTTCGAATTATAGCCGCTGACACTTATGGGCCTCAGGGGCCAAGCTCCGTGCTGGGCACCTTCCATACATTATCCCATAAGTCAGGGGCCACGTCTTGAGGCAGACCGCAAGAATGGAGAGGTACCCAGACCCAGGACACCGCGGTGGCGGCTAGAGAGGGTCCTTTGCCCTGAGGGTAGAGCATAGGGGTTTACAGCACTGACCCCTTGAGCGACCCTGCTGGCTCCCTGCAGCGTTAGGAGGTAGGTGCGGCTGGAGTAACCAGTTCACTTTACAGGTGGGGTCGCTGAGGCCCAGAAGGGTAGACTGAGTTGCCTCCCAGAACTGAGGCCAGAACCCAGGCCTCAGGAGGCAGGGATAGAGAAGCAGCCACCGTGCCGAGCCCTTTCCTACAGAAGCTCGAGCCCAGGCCCTGAGCCAGCAGGATGGGTGCGGCGTGAGGCAGCCAGCTTGGAGCCTGCAGCCTTTCCCCCGGGGCTGGGATGGCCCAAGAGGTGTGACCGGGAGCCTCACCCGCTCCCCAAGGCCTGGCAGCTGTGAGGACATCAGCCCCCAAATAAAGACACGCCAGTTGCCCTCCTAACCCTCAGCCCCCACCATGCCCTGCCTCGGAGCGCAGCCGGAGCCTTGGTCTTTCAAAGAGGGCCAAGGTTTCCAGAGCCACATTGTCTGGGCGCACCCATTGTTCTGTCTGTCCCTAGGGGTCTTTGTTCAGAACAGGGAGCAAAACTCAGCCTTCCCCCAGCCGCCTGATTAAAAGCACCTTCAGTGAGTCCCAGGAGGGGCCGGCCCTGAGCCTGTGGAGGAGACCCCTACTTCGTGCCAGGAGCTGCCGAGTGGCTTGCGTTTCTGCTCTTATTTATTCCTCTCAGCAGCCTTCCCGTGAGCAATTTATTATTTCTCTGTTATAGTAAATGAGGAACTGTGGCTCAGAGAGATTAAGTAATACTCAAGGTCACAGAGCTGGTTAGTGGCAGAGCCCAGTGCTAACTTACAGGACTCTGTGACCATCGGCAGTGGCCCTCCCCTTCCCTCCCTGTAGCGCTGGGTGCTCATCCCCAGCCCCCAGCCTGTGGTTAACACCCCCCCCCTCTCTCCACCGCCTTCTGGGTCCTCAGCTCCAAGATCTACATGGCTGACCTGGAATCCGCGCTGCACTACATCCTGCGGGTGGAAGTGGGCAAGTTCTCTGTGCTGGAGGGGCAGCGCCTGGTGGCCCTTAAAAAGTTCATGGCCGTGCTGGCCCAGGTGAGCAGGGCCCCAGCCTCCCTTGTCTGTACCCCCCTTGGGAGCTCCTGATCTGGCTGGACACCTGGACCCACAGCGGTCCCGGTCCACCGAGGGCTGCTGCCCCAGGCTGCTGGCTGGGTAGGGCAGGGCCGGGTGCCCTGGGATGTTCCCCGCGGATTCTGCCTGGGTCCCCCACTACAGTCGGAGCATGGAGTGAGGCCATGGTCACTGGGGAAGTGGGACCCGCGGATGCCACAGGGAAGGAAAGAAGGCTTTTCTGCATCTCCTCTCTTCCTTCCCAGTCACTGGTCATAGTGTGACCGGCTCCTTGGCCACCCCTTCCTGGTGGTTTCCAGCCGACATTGCTACTCTCTGAAGTGTAGCTCCTGCCTGTTGGGGATCTGCTGTGTGTCAGGCATTTAATCCTCTTGCCTTTGCACAATGGCAAGTGTTAGTCCCATTTCAGAGCCCCAGGGTGTTCAGGGGACTTGCCTCATGCCTCCCAGTGAGGAGGTGTCGGGAGGACCTGGGCTGAGATCTCTGGCCCCAGAGCCCATGGTCCTTTCTTTGCCACACAGCTTGCTCAGCTCCGTGAAGGTGAGATGCAGGCCCCCTTCCTTCTGCACCTATCTCCTCCTCCCTCCCCACATCCTTCCGTCTGCTTCCAGATCCCTGGCCAGTGCTGCCCTACTTAGAACCCCAGGCTCCGGGCTGTGGAGGACCGCTGAGTCAGATGTGGGCTCCGGTCCCCTTTGCAGGCTGGCTGCTGACACAGCCACCCTCCGTCCCCGGGTGCCAGGTCTGCGGCAGCTGGGGCTACCTCTGGGGGTGATCTGTGCCTCCCCAGCAGGAACTGCCTGCCAGCCTCACCCCTGTCCTGGCCTTCAGGCCCATCTGGCTCGTCTGTGTGGCGCTGGTACAGCCTGAGGCCAGAGCCTTTGGTCCCTCCCCCAGGTCCCTGCTCTCTCCTAGAAGCAGCTGGAATGACTGGCCACTGGGTGGCGTGCGGTCACCAGCGTTTCCTGCTCGAGGCAGGTGGTGACTCCCTGAAGTCCAGAGCCCTTAATTCATCCTTCCTCCTGACACCAGGGCCTGAGGAGGAGGAAGGGTCCAAGTCAGGATGATGGGCGAAGGTCAGTGAGAAACGCTGACTTGAAGCTGTAAATTCATGTTGAGAGCCCAGAGGCCGGAGCGGGAGCCTGTCAGAGACCAGATTCTTCCGGCCCCTTCTCCCTCAGGGCCAGTGGCCAGCCCTGGAAATCTGTAATGGCTTTCTCAGGGGACCGGATCCACTGGCAGGTTTTTCTGTTTCATGATCATTCTTTGCTCTTTTTCCTCCACAAGTTTCTCGGTGTCTTTGTCCTCCTGACCTGTGTCTTGGTGGTTTTATCTGACCCGCTCTGCTGGTGTCCCTCCCTTCTCCTGCCCCCTCCCCCCGCCTGTGGGTGTGTGTTGTGTGTGTGTGCACGCGCACGCACGCACATCTGTCCTCCTCCCTGGAGTCCTTGTGGCTTTAAAGTGCTGATACTAATCAGATTTCAGTTGACTTATTGTCAGAGTAGCTTTTCATGTTCCTCAGAGACTCTTGGGAGTTACCAGCAAGGTCTGGACCTTGGCTATAAGCCCCCGGGCCGCCTTGTCCCCACCAGCGGCCCATGGAATACAGATGAAAGGCTGTTGGCCAGCCTCGCCCAGCAGGCAGTCAGCTGGTCTGTCAGAAGATCGCCCACAGAGAGGACCCTGTGGCCCAGGTTCCCAGGTGCTCAGCCTTCCTCCCAGGGGCAGTGTGGGGTCAGGGTCAGCCTTGAGAGAGGGAGGCCTGAGGGCTGAGCCTCACTTAGAGCTCTGTCCTCTCCCAACCCCTTCCCCCACCTTGCCAGGTGCCCCAGAGCAAAGGTAACGAAGAACCGCATTTGTATCTGAGGAAGAATGTTTCTCTGGTGGCTTAGGAGCATTTCAGGAAACTGCCCCTCCTCACCTCTGTGGAACCCCCTCCCCTCTGTGGGACTGCGGAGCTCTGGGAATTGCTTTTCCCGCCCCAGCTTCTCCTTATGCCTCCCACAGCACTTCCCCGGCCAGCCCTTAGTCCAGAACTTCCTGCATTCCATAAATGACTGGCTGAAGAGGCAGCAGAGAAGGAAAATTCCCTATGGTTTCTTTAAAGCTGCCCTGGACAACAGGAAGGAGGTGAGTCTGGGGGCAACTGAAGACCTTCTCCCTGTCCTCAGTGACTGTGGGGATGGAAGGGGTTAACCCTGTAGCCTCTGCCCTCCACCCACTTGCATTCCGGAAGGAGTCCAGGATCTCGGTTGGGCCCTTCCAGCAATAATGAATAAACCGCTACTTACTGAGCCGTCTGCGTGCACATCTCATCTCATCTTCCCAGCATGGGCGGAAGGTAGCTCTTATCCCCATTTAGCAGATGGAGAAGCTGAGGTTAAGAGAGGTTAAGTAACTCTCTAAGATCATCAGGCCAGTAGGTGGTTGGGCCGGGATTTAAGACTGAGTGTGAGCAAGTTTGTCGCTGGTGCTGCCAGCAGGCACATCGGGCCCCTCACAAGGCCCGTCTGGCCCTCTCCGGGGGCACCTGTCCGGGCTCCTGTGCTCCCGCTCTGTGCAGAGCTGGCCCAGTGCAGCCTGCAGAGACGCCCGGCTGTACAAGTGTGTCGGATGCCAAAGCTCGAAGGGACCTCAGAGGCCAAACCCCTCATTTTACAGATGGGGAAGTTGAGGCTAGAATAGGGATGTGACTCTGTGTCACAGCTTTTCAAATCTGCTGCTCCTTTGACGGGCGTAGCCGGTGGAAGGGAGGTGCCACCTTCCTGGTGGTGAACTGGAGAGGGACTTCATTCGCCTCAGGACTGTGTGCTGACTTTGAGTCTCCCGGAAGCTTCTTTCCTCTCGCCGCCCATCCCTTTCTCTTTCTTCCCCGTATACGCTCTCGTGCACGTGTGTGTTCTCAGGGCACTGTGATTGCCGAGAAGGTGAACTGGGTTGGCTGCCAGGGGAGTGAGCCACATTTCCGGGGCTTTCCCTGTTCCCTGTGGATCCTCTTCCATTTCCTGACGGCGCAAGCAGCTCGGCACAGTTTCGACCACTCACAGGAGACAGGTGAGCCCAAGGCCTTTGCCCCGGCCCGGCCCTCCACAAGCTTCGTGTCGCAGGCCCAGAGGTAGTTGATTCTGCATTTGCAGCTGGCCACGTGCACTCAGCCCAGAACCGGGACGCGGAGGACCTGGAGTGGCCACGCATTCCTGTCCCCAGCCCCAGGGTGGTGCCCTGTGCAAGCTCGGGGCTGTAAGATTCTTCCTGGCTTTCTTGGAGCCATAAGCTTGCTTTGTTTATAGAACTTTGTGATAAATTTGTGGTTCTATTTCGTATACTCCTATAAAACTAGGAATTTCGTCTGTTTCAGTCTACATGGCTGATACTGCATACTTTGAACAATTTTATTGTTTCCCACGGAAAAATCATTCTTTTTTTTTTTTTTTAGAGAGGGAGTTTGCAAGCTGGGGAAGGGGAGGGTCAGAGGAGAGGGAGAGAGAACCTTAAGCAGACGGAGCCAATGGGGTCTTTGTCTCACAACCCTGAGATCATGACCTGAGATGAAATCAAGCTGGACGCTTAACCAACTGAGCCACCCAAGCGCCCCCGAAAAATCGTTTTCTAAGGAAGGCTGGGGAAACACATTGCCCCTTGTGCCCTATTCCCTCCTCAAACCATGTGGCTGCCCTCCGCCGCTCACTCTGCCTCATACCTTTACCTCACGACCAAAGGGCAGGTGTCCAGCTCAGTCCCCACTGACTGAGGGTTAGATCACCGGGGTCAGCCTGGAGGAGGCATCAGTGGGCCGGAAAGCGCCCCGCTTTCTAGGGGCAAGGGGCAGGGGGCAGAGAGCTGCTGTGCAGCGGGCCAAGGCTCTGAGCCAGGGAGGGGGCGTGCAGGGAGAGGGAGAAAGGCTTCAGTGCAGTGAGGAGGGGCAGGGGGAGGTGAGCTGAGGGGGCGTGCAGGGAGAGGGAGAAAGGCTTCAGTGCAGTGAGGAGGGGCAGGGGGAGGTGAGCTGATAGAAAAGTCTATTTTTTCCTCTTAATTCCTTTAAAATAGGTATGACTATTTGATGCTAAGAAATATTTTCTTGTGGGCTTTACAATGTAAGTAGGTATAACTAATGCACATGACAATATAATATGAAGCATAAGACAGCACACTTTTCCTGTAATGGGCAAGAGAGTAAATGGTGGATGTGAAGGCCACAGGATCCGTCACAGGGACTCAGCTCTGCACTGTAGTGAGAAAGCAGCCACAGACGTGAGCTGAGGGCCTGGCTATGCTCCAGTAAGACTACGTACAAACATCGGCCCCACGCAGGATCTGGCTCACCCACCGCATGTTTGTCCACTCCTGGCATAAAGGAAAAGAGCAGTAGGATGGCAGAAGGCCTTATATAGGGGCAAAGTTTCTGCATTTAAATGCAGTGGTACAACACTGATTCTAAGCGAACTGTGAAAAGCCAGTGTCTCTCAATAGTGGTAGTGTTGACCTTTTCGGTCAGATCCTTCTTCACTTGATGTGTATGACTGCGTGCGTGTGTGTGAGTGCGTGCGTGTGAGTGCGTGCGTGTGTGTGGGGGGAGTGTGGGTGTGTGCGGCAGGGGTGTCTTGAGTACCGGAGGATGTTGAGCAGCATTCTTGGTTTCAACCCACTAACCACCAGTAGCACCACTCTCCCCAGCTATGATAACCCAAACTGTCTCCAAACACTGCCAACTGTTCCCCGGGGGGCAAGTACCTCCCCATTAACAACCAGTGTCCTAAAGCAACCACCGAAAATTCCAGAGATAGAGCCAAAAAGCCAGTAGGTCAATTAAAATAGAAGTCTAGGGGAGCCTGGGTGGCTTAGTCCGTCAAGCATCCGACTCCTGATTTTGGCTCAGGTCATGATCTCAGGATGGTAAGACGGAGCCCCTCAAGGCTCAGCGTGAGTCGGCTTGAGATTCTCTCTTTCCCTCTCCCTCCGCCCCTCCCCCTGCTCGTGCTCTCTAACTAACTAACTAAACAAACAAATAAATAAAGCCTTTCAAAAAATTAAATAGAAGTCAGAAGAAAAAAAAAAAAGCCTAGGAAACATTTAAATAGTCCAAAGAGGGCTAGAAAGTTTCCTCCTTTGTGTGTTCCTCTCTCTTTCAAAGGAAAAAACAAGGAAGGAAAAACAGAAAATAAATAACAAAATAATAAATATAAATCCAACCATCTCAATATTGTATATATATTTTTAAAGATTCTATTTATTTATTTATTTGTCAGATAGAGAGAGAGAGAACGCACACAAGCAGGCAGAGTGGCAGGCAGAGGCGGAGAGAGAAGCAGGCTCCCTGCCGAGCAAGGAGCCTGATGCAGGACTCGATCCCAGGACCACGTCCTGAGCCGAAGACAGCAGCTTAACCAATTGAGCACCCAGGCACCCCATTATTGTATTGTATGTTAATGAAGGCTAAACACTCCAATTAAAAGGCAGATATTGTGAGAATGAATAAAAAGCAAGACCCAACTCTATGCTGTCTCAAGAAACACCTCAAGTATGAGGGCACAAATAACGTGAATGTAAATGAATAGGAAAAGATACACTATGTAAACAGGAAGCAAGAGAAAACAATAGAGAGTATATTAAAGATGTACAGATAAAATAAAATTCAAGGTTGAAGAGTGTTACTACAATAAAAAGGGATATTTCGTAATATAAAAATCCAAAGGAATATGAAAGACCTGTACCTCCGGAACTGTAAAATACTGACAAAAGAAACTGAAGAGGACACAAACAAATGAAAAGATAGTCCGTGCTCATGATCTAAAGAACTAATATTGTTAAAATGTCCCTACTTCCCAAAGCAATCTACAGATTTAATGCAATCTCTATCAAAATGTCAGCATTTTTCACAGAATGAGAACAAATAATCCTAAAATTCAGAACCATAGAAGACCCCAATAGCCAAAGTATCCTAATCCCAGATTGCAAGATAAACTGCAAAGCTGTAGTCATTGAAACAGTATGGTACTGGCACAAAAACAGACACATAGATCAAGAGAATAAGATAGAGAGTCCAGAAATAAACCCATGCCTATATGGTCAATTAATCTATGACAAAAGAGGTAAGAATATACGATAGGGAAAAGACACTCTCTTCACCAAATGGTGTTGGGAAAATTGGACAGCTACTGCAAAAGAATGAAACTAGACCACGTTCTTTTTTTTTTTTTTTTAAGATTTTATTTATTTATTTGACAGAGAGATCACAAGTAGGCAGAGAGGCAGGCAGAGAGAGGAGGAAGCAGGCTCCCTGCTGAGCAGAGAGCCCGATGTGGGGCTCGATCCCAGGACCCTGAGACCATGACCCGAGCCGAAGGCAGCGGCTTAACCCACTGAGCCACCCAGGCGCCCCACTAGACCACGTTCTTACATCATACAGAAAAATAAAAAGGATTAAAGACCTAAATTTGAGACCTAAAACCCATAAAACTCCTAGAAGAAAAAACATAGGCAGCAATTTCCTTGACATCAGCCTAGAATCATTTTTCTAGATATGCCTTCTCAGACAAGGGAAACAAAGCAAAATTATTATACTATTGGGACTACACCAAAATAAAAAGTTTTTGCACGGCAAAGGAAACCATCAACAAATGACAAGGCAACCTGCTGAATGGAAGAAGATATTTGTAAATGATGTATCCTATAAGGGTTTGATATCCAAAATATATAAAGAACTTGTACAAATCAACACCAAAAATACAAACAACCCAGTTAAAAAAACGGACAAAGGAGCTGAATAAACATTTTTTCCAAAGAAGACATGTAAATGGCCAACAGACACACGAAAAGATGCTCAACATCCCTCAGCATCAGGAAATGCAGATCAAAACCACAATGAGATATTAACTCACCCTGTCAGAATGACTAAAATAAAAAAGACAAGAAATAATGAGTTTTGACAAGGAGGTGGAAAAAAGGAACCCTTGTGCATTGCTGAAGGGAATGCAAATTGGGGAAGCCACTGTGGAAAACAGTATGGAGACCCCTTAAAAAAAATAAAAAATGGAATAACCACATGATACAGTAATTCTTCTACTGAGTATTTACCCAAAGAAGATGAAAACACTAATTTGAAAAGATATATGCGTCCCTATGTTTATTGCAGTCTTCTTTACACTAGCCAAGACACGGAAGCAACCCAAGTGTCCATCGATAGATGAATGGATAATGAAGGTGTATATATACACAATGAAATATTACTCAGCCACAAAAAGAATGAGATCTTGCTATTTGCAACAGCATAGACGGGCCTGCAGGATATTATGCTAAGTAAAAAAGTCAGTCAGAGAAAGACAAATACCATATGATTTCACTTATATGTTGAATTTAGGAAATAAACGAATGAAAAAAAAGATACAAACCAAAAAACAGACTCTTTTTTTGGTTTAAATTTGAGATCTCCTTTGAAATATAAACCATAGAAATGTAAATTGTTGAACATTTTTATGAAGATTTTTGAAATTTATTTATTTGACAGAGATCACAAGTAGGCAGAGAGGCAGGCAGAGAGAGGAGGAGAGGCAGGTTCCCCGCTGAGCAGACAGCCCGAGGCGGGGCTCGATCCCAGGACCCTGAGATCATGACCTGAGCCGAAGGCAAAGGCTTTAACCCACCGAGCCACCAAGGCGCCCCAAAAAACAGACTCTTAACTACAGAGAACAAAGTGCTGGTTACCATAGTAGGGGTCCATAGGGGATGAAACGAACGCTTACCTTGGTGAGCGCTGAATAAGGACAGGTGAGCGCTGAGTAAGGACAGTTGGTGGATCACCATATTGTACCCCTGAAACCAACATCATGCAATATGTTAATTACGCTGGATAGAAAATTAACAAAAGTAAGTATGTCAGTGCGCACAGACGTGGGGCATGGCCAGTGAGGGGCAGAGCAGCAGGGGCAGCAGATTGGGGTCTAAGTGACAGGTGTGGATTTTCCAAGTGGAGGGGAAGTCACTGGGAATGTGTCAAGCAGGGAAGGAGGCGCTCTGGGAAAGGGTCCGGAGGAGAGAGTCTGGGGAGAAGTCTGCTACCACCTCTCTGCCTCTGTCCAGCATCGCTGCTTCAGATCTAGGCTGTGGCGATGGGACTCTGGTAAGAGACAGAGCGGTGGCAACATTAAGAATCCCCTTCCCACCAGGGCGTCTGGGTGGCTCTGTTGGTTAAGCGTCTACCTTGCGCTCAGGTCATGATCCAAAGGTCCTCGAATCAGAGTCCCACATCGGGCTCTTTGCTCAGCAGGAAGCCTGCCCCTCTCACTGCCTTCTGCTCCCCCTGCTTGCTCTCTCTCTCTGATAAATAAATAAATAAAATCTTAAACCCCCCACCCCCGCCTCATTCTCAACTCACCCTTTAGCTCTCGGCTCAGGGAAGCTTCTCTGATATCTTCTGTATTATTTTATCCTGGATACTCCATACCTCTCCTTCATGAGCTTTTTATGCTTTAAAATTATAGATTTATTGGTATTACTCTTTGGTCAGCGTTTCTTCTCCTAAACTGTTAACTTGGAGTGCCTGGGTGGCTTGGTCATTGACCATCTGCTTTGGGCTCGGGTCATGACCCCAGGCTCCTGGGATCTGGCCGCACAACAGGTTCCCTGCTCGGCGGGAAGCCTGCTTCTCCCTCTCCCACTCCCCCGGCTTGTGTTCCCTCCCTCGCTGACTCTCTGTCAGATAAATAAATAAAATCTTTTAAAAATAAATAAATAAATAAATAAATAAATAAAATAAACTGGAAATGTGAAAGCAAGGACCGTGTCTTGGGCTCATCACCAGGGGCAGGTTCAGGTTTTGTGGGGTGGAAGATTTTATCATCTGAAGCAGGGAGCCCTCGTTAAGAAAATAAATACATAATTATAAATATAAAATTAACTATAAACAAATATTTATTAGAGTGAGCACTGGAATTGCCACAAGCTCCTAGAGCTTAGGAGATGGAAATCCCTTCTAGGAGCTCACTTAGAAAATTTAGTAGACATACTGACAGAGAAATGCTTCCTGGTGGTAACCAGGTTTCCTCTGCCTGCTTCGCGATCTTTCTGCGATTCGCAGTACTCACGTGGACTGGGCACGTGAGGAGCCTGAAGCTGCTTCTTCCTCAGCTGATTGGTACCTCCACCTCTGTTCATCACCATGTTTGAGGACCCAGCACCCTGCTGGTTACGCAGTGGATGCTCAAGGACTCACGGCTGCTGGAACGGGAACCATTACCTTTCTTCTTGCCCACAGCTGAGTGTCTACCGGGATATGCAAAGACGAGAGAGGAGAAGAGAGATTTCATCTCCTCTCATCTCCCACCACCAGGAACTGGGTAAGGTAGACAGTCACAAGTATGATTAGTTCTTAGGACAAGATTAATATGTCACCAGAAAGGACAGGAAGCTGGGTAACTTTTGTTCCAGATGGTAAGGCAAAGTCGGGAAGAGAAGACCACGACAGTCAGTTGGGAAAATTCAGGCCCAAAAAGTGGCTGATGGACCATTTTATGTTTTTATGAAAGTACAGTAGCAGATGACACATTCAAACTTCCATTTTATTTTAATTTTTAAAAGATTTTTATTTATTTGAGAGACAGAGAGAGCATGAACAGGGAGGTAGGAGAAGCAGAGGCAGAAGCGGACTCCCCACTGAAGGGGACCCCAGTGCAGGATTCCAGCCCAGGACCATGAGATCATGACCTGAGCTGAAAGCAAACCAACTGAGCTACTCAGATGCCCCTTATTATTTTTTAATATTTTTTTAAGTAGGTGCCACACTCAGCTTGGAGACCAACATGGGGCTTGAACTCATGACCCTGAGATCAAGACCTGAGCTGAGATCAAGAGATGCTTAACTGACCAAGCCACACAGGTATCCCCAAACTTCCATTTCAGACTGGAAGTCATAGTGCCTAGCTGCCGATGAGACAGGGCTGACCACCGAATGGCAGAACTTGGGACTCAGAGAGATGCAGTGATTATGTGCCCAGACGTAACCCATCTAGAAAGCCCATCTGTCTAACAGATGAACCCTCTCAAGAGGCTGGGCAGGTGGGTGGAAACCAGGGCTGAACCACGGGCAAGAGCACGGAGCAAGTCGGCTCCCTAAAGATGGAGGGTGCGGCCTCAAGAAATCTTTAGGGATGTTTGCTGATAGCAAGGCCATCATAAAATAAGAATGTAATATCTGGATTCTGATACAGTCACCTGAGACCATAAAAACACTCAATTTTGGGCAATTCATACAAAAGGCACTAAGAGCCTACTGTGGCCCAGGCAAATTCTTGCAAGAAATTCTTTCTTCTTTACGTTTGTTTCTCCCCATTTTTGCACCCAGTTGGCTTGAGTCAAGTTTATCTGGACACCTGAAAATCTCCAGTACATTCATGATACATCTTGACATAGGTAGTGTGACCCCAGACGTACTCAGACCTCAGCCTTCCGTATTTTTTAGAACTGCTAGTTGCACCCTACTGTCCCAGGCACTGTGCGAGACTCTCACATTCTCCTATTCAATCCTTACACCTCTGCCTCCTGGTGGTGATCATCATCTGTTTTTTTTCCCGCACAGCCCCATCTGACCTCTTTCCCAGATAACAGTAATTCTTTTCATGGGAGAAACTGCTCCTGTCTTACTTCAGACATGTAGTTCTGGTGGGGGCTGCCAATTCCTGTGCTCACCCAACTACCTAGAGGAATGGAGACGTCTGGGATGAGGCAGTGGCCATACACCATCTCCCTGTTCATAGTGAATGATCTGGGAAGGAGCACATAGCTCAAGCCTGGCCAGAGTTTTTCCCCAGGACTTCTCAGACTAGGGTCAGGAGAGAAGTCTTTCCTGTCTTTTGCCTCCGACCTCAAAGATGAAAGCACAGAACTACAGCCCTAGTCTTCTGGAAACCGCCAGGCTGAGAGAATAAAGCCATTCTATGGTTTTTCAAAAATGTGTAATACCCTGGATTCACCATTGCAGTATCACACAGAGCAGTTTTACTGCCCTAAAAATACTCTGTGCTTCTCTATTCATCTCTCAATTATTTCATTTTTTTTAAAAAGCACTTGGGAAATCAGAACAGAATCTTAACATAGAAATTTTTAACCCTGGGCGCCCGGGTGGCTCAGTCAGCTAAGCGGCTGCCTTCAGCTCAGGTCATGATCCCAGGGTTCTGGAATCAAGTCCCACATCCAGCTCCTTGTTCAGTGGGGAGACACTTCTCCCTCTACCTCTACCTGCTGCTCCCCCAGCTTGTGCTCTCTCTCTGTCAAACAGATGAATAAAATCTTGGGAGGGGGAGAAATTTTTACCCCTTGGACTAATGAAACTAGTCTGAGGACGAGTGGAACCGCAGCCAAATAAGACAATCACCACCACTTTCACAGACAAGAGCTCTGCACCTCACGTGGTCTCTGTGCCCATTTTACAGATGAGGAAACTGAAGCTCAGGGAACTGGAGGCAGTTGCCAAGGATCGAAACGCAAGTGTTTTAATTCCAGAGACCTAGTGCTCAACTGCCACACCCCAGCGTCTTCCAAAAGAGTTCCTGAACTCTTTTGATTCTGTAGAAGGAGGGTGTCCCCAAGCTAACCCAGGGGACTCCTCTCTTCCGACTCACACCTGCTCCTCCAGCCCTCCCTCCACATGCACATGCAATGCGCACACCTTCCAACACGTATGACGTCATCGTATGTATCTTCTCTTCGGGCAAATTCTGAGAAGGCTTTTGTCATAAACCAAGAAGTTCATAAGTTCCGTCCCTTCTCCGGGCTGGTGTTAGTTATGCTTTATAGTTTCGTGTTTTTATCTATCATACAGGAAATACAGGACACACCCTGAAGTCGGGGCAGAAACTATTTCCAATTAAGATACCTCCTCCAGAAACCTACAGTTCTCCCAGATAAATTGCACAGCATCCCACAGTTGGCAAAGTCCCCGGAAGCCTTCCCAGGGGAGCGCCGGGAAGCATCCATGCCAGCAATGTGGTCTTCTTGCCTTTGACCTCGGGCCTCCTTTGATGACTTGCAGGTTCCCAGAAGCTCTCACTCCTGACATGAGCCAGAGAGCCCAAACAGCAAGGCCGTGAGTTTATAGCCTTTTATCTCCTTTCTACTTTAGTCTGTCCTTCTGTGTGCTGGGAGAGGGGTGGGGGGGGGCGTTCCTACTGAACTGCCATCGTGCGACCCAGGACAAGGGAAGCTGTACATGAACGTGGGGTTCTGCCCCGGATATGCCATTGACACACATCGCCTTCTCAATACTTCAGCAGCCATGCTGGAAAAAGACGAAAACTGCTAATTGACCTGTAAGCTGGACCCCAGCTCTTGGAGGCTCCTCACCCCCTCCCCTATCCTTGGACTATGGGTTCAGCTTGCCTCTCCCACTCCTAGAGGCTGCTCCAAGGACAGAGCCTGGAGATAGGGATGTGGTGTTAAGAATACCTACACGGTTTATGTGACTGAATCGAGTTAAAGGCCTTTTTATGTACTTTAAAGATTTGGCAGGCAGTGCAGGAAACCATTAGTCTTTTTGCTGCCCGACACAGGCCTCATATAGAGGTTCCCTCGGCTTGTTAGAACTGCCACCTGCCAAGCTGGAGTGGCCTGCCTCTGTCTTCGGTCCCTCCCTGCCCTGCGAGTACAGGGGTCAGTTTCAGATTAAACCTGGAAAGTTCCTGGGAGGGTTAGGAACCCGTACTTGCTGTGTGGCCTTAACCAAGTCTCTCAACTTCTCTGGGCCTCTGTCTCCTCTACAGATAAGAAGAAAGCAACTGGGGTGTATGAACAGTATGAAGAAGGAGCTGGGAAGGGACAGCTTAGCCACCCTCTTCTGCTGGCTTACCCTCGCTCCAGTGGTCAGATGGATCTCCAGCCCTTTGCTCCCACCTAAGAGACACGCAGAAGGATAGTCAAGGATTTTCCTGTTTTCCATTCTCATCTCTAAGGCCTCCAAGGGCTCACCTTGAGGGACCCTATATGAGGGTATTTCTATTCCCCACCTTCTTCCAACCTGCCTTTTGTCTTGGAAGCCAATTTCCATGGACTACAGTCAGGGCACCCTCACCTCTGGCTGGTTGGGTTTGGCCAATGGGAGGCGCTGGTGGAGGACTAGACGAGGAAGAGGTAGAAATGAAACTCTCCTGCTGCCTCCCCGCTCTCCTCCCCACTTCCCTGCGTTCCTGGCAGTGGTGGCATTTGGCAATTCCAGCTCTGGTTGGGTCGCCCCCTTCCTTGACTCCAGCTCCCACAGGTTCCATCACCAAGTTCCTTGGCACTCAAAGGACTTCTTGCTGTTTTCAGTCACTGGGGACCTGGCACCTCCTGTCAGTTCCTTTTACCCTGCACACACCTCTGTAGGCAGCCCTTCCATTAACAAACACTTTGAATGTGCTTTCTCTTTTCTGCCATAGCTGTCTGACGCAGACTCTCAGTATCTCTCCGTATGCTTTCCAAACTGGTATTCTAACCAACCCCGGCTATGGACCAGTTCATCTATAAGACCAAGAGGTGAGTTTTGAAGGGACAAAGTATAGAGGTCTTTGCTGCTGGGCCCTTGTCTTCCAGCTGCACACACCCTCTCTCCTCCTTGGTGCAAATGAGTGAGTGGAAAGTCATCTAATGGTTGGCTACTGGCTGACATGTACCAAACAATCCTGTTGCTCACCGTAATCATCTCTATTTGTGTATAAGCTGCATTCCTCTGACCATCTGTCTTACTTTTGGTTGACAAACTCCCAAATTCCCTCTCTTTTATTCATACATAATACATGAATGAGTCACAAGTGGGGAAAGTCAACAGGGCTCCTTCTACCTCAGTCTCCTCATCTGTATCAATGGGATAATAAGACTATCAACCTCATAGGGCTGGTGTGAGAATTAAATGAGTAACATCTGTAAGTGTTAGAATAGCAGGTGCAAAGTATTATCTAACACTATTATTTTACTCTCTCGTCTGGCTCCTTTTGGCTCACTCTCCTATAGCTTGTATGTAAGAAGGGGAGCAGGGGATCTGGGTAGGAATTCCTAAGCCCTGCCCCTCCACTTTCAATGTTTTCGTCAGCTTTTCCCTCCCCCTCCACATCCCACTGTTGAGTAGATTCCCTTCTTTGCCATCTTTTTATCCCAGAAGTCCCTTATGATCCTTATGTTTTCTGCTTTCAATTCTAGACCATCGGTTTTCAGTTGGTGGCCTAGAGAGCCTCTGAGGCTCCCAAGAAGCCCCCCAGACCTCGGAAAGTGGATATCGCTCTAGGTCCCTTTAGCTTGCTTTTATCTGTTCAAGCTTCCTTTCAAGGTTCTGTTTGAACAAAGCCTTCCGAGACTTAAAAGAATTGGAAATCCCTGTTCCAGGATATCACAACTCTCAGTCTTAATTTCTTTAACCCCCTTGAAAAGAAACTTTCTCTACTTCATTCAAATGGTTTGTATTCTTTTCTACTTCCGATGCTCTGAAACAGATATGTGAACAAGCAAATCTTTGTGTACTCGTCTGGGATGTCTTTCCCAGGTGCTCAGCATGGTCAGCCAATATTGCCTCTCTAATTCTCAGGCCTCTAGGGAAGATAACTACAGCACTATTGAACAAAAGAGACGTTTGAAGGCACTTGACTTTTGCTGGCCCCCTATCCAGCCACTGGAATACTTCCAACCCCAGGAATCAAAAGACTCCTAGGACCCTATCCTGATAAGCCTGGGCCAAGCCTAGTCCTAAGAGCTGCTAGGAGTGAGGGAAATGGGGTAGCAGAAGCTCCCTGGACTGGCTGGGGGTGGGGGGAGCATCACCATCTGAAACTCGCTGTGGGAGTTTGGGGAGGTCCTAACACCTCAACTGGTCAACATACAATTTCTTTATGGAGTTCAAGACCTTGGGCACAGAGACTATGAATATGGGAAGGGAGCAGAAGCCCTCTCTCATTCCAGGCAGATCTCTGCCTGCAATGCCTTTACCTCAGACTGCCACACGCTTCCTCTCATACTTCATTTGTCTCAAATGTTACCTCATGAGAAGTGCCTTAAGACTGGGGACAACATGGCGCCTGGGTGGCTTAATAGGTTAAGCGTCTGCCTTTGGCTCAGGTTATGATCCCAGGGTCCTGGGATCAAGCCCTGCATTGGGTTCCCTGCTCAGTGGGGAGCCTGCTTCTCCCTCTGCTTCTGCCTCTCTTTCTGTCTCTCATGAATAAATAAGCAAAACCTTTAAAAAAAGACAACGACGACAATGATTGGGGGCAAGAGAAGCCCCTACCTTGGGTTCCGAGCTCTCTGGCCCTCTTCTAACCATACCCTTTTCCACAGAGCAAGAAGCCCATGTGCCAAGGGGATGCGCCCACCCCAAGCTCCTGCTCCTCACCCCTCCTTAGATCCTCCTGTGGGTACCCAAGACCCTAGAATTCTCCATCCCTGTGGCACCAGGCCAGCTTCTAGAGACTGCATTGACCTTTCCATCCTCTTGAGGAACCAATAAACAGCTATTTGCAGGAGATGTGGATGAAGCTCAGACACATAGACCCAGATATGACAGGGGTGGGCACATGGCCCCTTGAAGTATAGGACAGAGCTGGAGTGCAAAGAGTAGGGGGAAGGTCGAGGGCCAGGGACCAGTTACCACCTAAGCCACCCTATTCCAGCACACATCTTGGTGGAGTCGGGAATTCTAAACTTAAACTTGGCCTTCCAGATTATGATGAAGGTATATTGTCACAATGAAAGGATAGGAATTGTGCATACCAGTTTCACTTGGTTTGTAATTTTTAAATATGTGGACTTATGATATGTGGGCCTCCACTTGTACTTCTGAGCCTGGCCCTGTAAATCTAGGGTTAAACCCATCCCTGACCACACTCTACGCAATAAAATAGCACTTCCTCTGTCACTGTAGTCTCACCCGGTTGTATAGTGCTTCTTGGCATTTGCCACCATTAGATCTATATTTACTTGTATATCCTCTCTCTGTCCCTGTCCCCAGTACAATGGAAGTGGTGACCATAGAGTCTTGGTTTTGTTTACTGTCTAATACTTAGTACCTAGAGCGGTGCCTATGGCACAAAGGAACCACTCAGTAAACGCTGAAGAAGTAATGAGTCCAGGCTCCGACGGCTTGCAGATGAGGTGGGCTAACGGAAAAAACACACAGGAAAAAGACCACGCGTGACAACCCTCTGGGGAGCTCTTTCTCCGGGTAAAATCACTCCGCCTAGGAGCTACAAAAGGTGACCAGGGTACGTTTACCATTTAACACCTTATTACACAGGAACACAAAATTAGTTATCGGGCTCCTTGTGAGAAGGACACCTGAGTACGGAAGGGCTTCGAGGAGACTGGAGAGTTAGATGTAGAGGACCCGGGCTGCTGGGAGCCCCACTGGAGGAATCGCCGCACAACCTTACGGGGGTGGCCAGACCTGTGTGCCCAGGAAACCGCGATGGCAGCGCACTGGCCGCGCCATCCGGCCCAGCGTTTAAGGCGGGGAGGGAACTTCTCCTCCGTGACTGTTGCCCTTGGACGGTCAAAGGCCTCAGCGGTGTGGGCACACGTCATGCCTGCGGGGTCATGATGATCACAGACCTGGAGACCTTCGTCTTCTCTCTCACCTGCTTCTAACTCACATCTTGTGGCGTGGAGGGAGCCCCAGAACTTTCTTGGTACGGCACGAATCGATCCAATCTATTCCCATTTACTCCTTTTCCGTTAGGTACCGGGCTCGTGAGAAGCCAAATGACCTCCTCGAGTCCCCGGCAGCCACCGGAATACCGGTCCGGGCCTCTGGCGTGGAAACGCCCCGCTCGCTTGGGGGTGGGGGCTCCCGGGCCCCGGCTGCGCTCCCTGCCGGCTGAGGCCGGAGGCGGGAACGCACTAGCCGAGCTCCCCGGCCGCCGCAGACCGCGGGGCGGGGAAGGGGGCGGCGCTGGGCCGCGGAGGGGGCGGGGCCCCGAGGCTCCTCCCCCCGACGGACGCCAGAGGAGCGGCGGAACTGCCCGGCGCCCACTCGTCCGAAACTGGTGTGCAGTGGTGGGCGCCGCGCCGCAGGATGGGCTGGTGCGGCTGCAGCTCCGGGCCGCCGCCGTCGCGGCTGCCGCTGCTGCTGCTGGTGGCGGTGGCCGGCGCCGGCGCCGCCCCGCGCTCCGCGCTCTACTCGTCCTCTGACCCGCTGACGCTGCTGCAGGCGGACACCGTGCGCGGCGCCGTGCTGGGCTCCCGCAGCGCCTGGGCCGTGGAGTTCTTCGCCTCCTGGTGCGGCCACTGCATCGCCTTCGCCCCGACGTGGAAGGCGCTGGCCAACGACGTCAAAGGTGAGGGGCGGGCCGCTGGCGGGGGGGGGATCTCCTCGCGTCCCCCGGGGCGACCCCCTCCACCTGCCCAGCCGAGGGTCTCTCCCACCCGGCCCGCCTCCTCCGGCCCCGGGCCTCCGCCCATCTCTAACTCTCTGCCCCTCGCACTTCCCCCGCGGTTTTCAGCCCTCACCTCCATTTTTGGCTCCCGCGCCTTGCAGTCTCTTTCCCCTTGGCGGGTGCCCCGAGCTGCTCCCCACTCCCAGCAGGCCCTCACACCTGCTCTGACTTCCTGTGGGTCCTCAGCCGGCTTAGTGCCCCCATCCCTGCGCTGGCCTCTCCTTTGTTTCTCTAGCTCTGCTGACACCTTACGGCCTCCTCTGCTGTCGCCTGTGGCAGTCCCCTTCCTCTCGCTTGGGGACCGGTGTCGCTTCCTGCCGAATTCCCCGGCTGCTGTGGGATCAGTGCTGGGGAGAAAAAGAATGACATTCCCTCTGCTAACCCCTTGGCTGGTTGACCCAGCTGCTCCATAGACGTTTTTTCCCAGCTTTACTTTGGAGACAGTGTTCTTGTGTGGGTTCTAGGCCTCTCCCGACCTGCTGCCTGGAGCTCGTTAGCTTTTGGGCCACATCTTCTCTCTTCCTCTTGGCCACGCACCCTCTCAGACCCTTCTGTGTTAACCCGTGAACCCAGAGACCTGACTGAAGGCAGCCTCTTGGTGTGTGTTTGCCCTTGCTCCGTGTTTCTGTTCACTGGCCTGACCCGTAGCACCCTGTGTCCTCGATTCTCAGCCCTCAATTGTGAGACATACCATTCGTTTACTAAGCCTGAGGGGTAGAGAGATAACAAGACCACTAAATGTATAGAGATTTGAAAGTGTACGCTATTACAGAAATGGTAAATTAAAACAACAACAATAAAAACCTTTAGAACTGAAAAAATATGGTCATAATAGTAGTAAATATTTACAAGTGCTTCCTGTATGTCTGACACCTTTCTGGGTAAGTACATGACATGCATTATCTCCGAGTTTCCTTTCCAGAATTTGAGGATCTCTGTGGTGTCACACAGTTGCCTAGCCCAGATAGTGGGTGTTTGGTGGGTGTGGCGGTGGTGATTTGTTTCTGATTTGCTGTCTCTGAATGAAGCTACTTCCTGATTGTGGTGCTAGCTAGGGCCCTATCTTGGCTCCCAACTGAAAATGATCACTGAATGAGGACTGTGGGGGTCTTAGGGAATAGGTCTCTTTCTAGAGAGAGAACTGGAACTGCTGTTTCCTTGCTACTCTGTTGGTATTTCCTTTTTTTTTTTTTTTTTTTAAAGATTTTCTTTTTTAAAAAATTCATTTGAGAAGAGAGTGAGAGCACAAGCTGGGGCAAGGTCAGAGGGAGAGGGAAAAGCAGACTACCCGCTGAGTGGGGAGCCCAACATGGAACTCCATCCCAGAACCCGGGGATCATGACCTGAGCTGAAGGTAGTTGCTTTGCCATCTGAGCCAGCCAGGCACCCCTGGTATTTCTTAATCAGCTCAACCATTCATGGTAGAATAGTGTACTTATAGGTGTTGGTTTTCAAAGTTAGGCTCCCGTGTCCCCCAAGCAGTTCACATAATGATTACTGAAGGGGCCAGATGGAAAGATGTATACATCTCTTAGCCATGTGGTCCTGGAAAGTTATTTTTAACAAAACCGATGAACCATTTTATCTCTAGTGTACATGTGGACATGTCTGCATGCTTCTCTGGTCCCATCACCTCAGTGTGCCATGTCTCAGCCGCTCTTCACACTGTTTCAGTGATACCAACACATCTGGGCAGGGCAAGGGGGAGGAAGAGTGTTGAACATGGAACTGGAACACCTGAGGGGACATTAGGTGCTCAGGGGACCTTGTGGGCCTGAAAATCACAAAAATCCCCAGATCAGTTTCCACCTTGAGGCTATGAGAGGTCTCTAATGGCTGCGGAAGAACTTAATCTAGAAGACTCTTCTATCTTAAGAATGCTGGAGGGAAGGTTAGCTTCCAGCTGACTCATGTGTTTGACCTCTTGCAACCCAGAGTTTTCCAGTGAATTGCATAGCCAGACACTGACCCAGCTTACTCCTGGGTGAGGGTTGCCACTTCCAAAAGGGGTCTTGCCCTAGGGCATGGAGTGACAGTCTTCCCCTAAAAAATGCAAATCGAAACTCAGTCTCCAGGAAGGACAATGGAAGCACCAAAGTCTGTAGAGATGAACCACAGTCAGTGGGAAGTAGGAAACTGGAGATCTCCCAGGAGCCACGGGGACGGCCTTAACAAGATTGCGTTGGCACTGGGGTGGGGAGTTGGGGGAGAGCAGTGGCTGAATCTGGTATCAGCCTGCGATTATAGAGACTTCCCCCACTCCAGTCCAAGGGTAAGGCCCTGCTGGGAAGCAAGGGTTGTTCTCACATTATCTCTGTATTACTGAGTTTCTTTGAGAAAATGGTTGTGGGCCAGCACAGGGCTCGAACACCATCTGGGGCCTGTTGGAGTGTGCCCCCCGCCTTCTGCCAATGGTAAGAGTGTCTGGGGTAGGAGCAGTGAGAGTAGTGTGGAGGGTCATGGCGGGGGAGAAACATTTTGTAACCCTGCCCAGCTGGCCTCGCATTTCATCTTGACTGTCTAGGGCCCCTTTATTCAGTGACTTGTGGGACGGCTTCTCTGGGGCAGTTGTCCCGATGGCCAGAGCGCTGGCTTCTAAAGATCTGGTCATCCCTTTCTATTCCAGGACAGCTCTTCTTGTGTCACCGTATGTTTGGGAAATTGATTGTGTTCATCTTAATCTTCATTACTCTTCACTGGCTAATCAATCCATAAATATTTGTTGAGTGACCTCTATGTGCAGAACACTGTTTACATTGCAGTTTGGGAAATGAGCTACACACAGCGGGAGAATTGAGAATTGACAGCAGGGAAAAGCCGCGTTTGGGAAAGGCCAAAGGAGTGGCTCAGCCATTTCTGGTCGGAGCTCAGGGCAGGGTAGAGTCACAGAGGGCTAATCTGTCACCAGGCCTTCATTCAAGCAGTTATTTATTACACACTTGCCTTATACACTTGCCTGTGGGCCTTTGCAGGCCACTAGTGCGCATAGATATACACTTATGAAAAAATATCTGTGATTCGATGGGGGATTTTCGCTGTTGTTTTTAACAAGTGAGTAACGCGCCCGACATTGTACAGATACTGGAGGAGGTTCTTGAACCCGTTTCTTTGGCTCTAGAACCTAGGCAGGTGGAGAGATGGGCGAAGGAGGAGGAGTCCTCCGGGCTGGGAAAGTGCCCTCTGCCAAGCTACAGAGACGGCATTTATAAGGTGTGGATGTTTGGGTAACACTGAACAGTGGTGGTTTGCCTTCTTTTCTTTTCCATGGTGTAGGCCACCTCTCTTGTACCCCTGTGAATGCCTTAGTGCGGAGCCTGGCACAGGGTAGGAGCCCACTGGACACTTACGCAGGCCAATGGTATGACCCTCACAGGAGTCCTAATGAGAATGTAGTGACCAAGCCTGCTGCTTGTGCTATGGCTCTCCTGGACTCGGCCCTGGGGTGTCAGCCAGGTAGGTGTGAACGCCAGGGAAGGCATTTTGTCTATCCCATGACCTCACTGCCCAGAAGTCTGCAGCAGGGAGGAAGGGATGCTGTGGTGAGGGCAGGGACTGGCTAACTCCCTGTCGGGAGGACTCCTGGAGACTTGGATGGAGGTCTGGTTCTCACCACTTGACGAGTTCTTGCTGGTTTGGGTGGATCTGGCCTCTGTCTTAATAGGAGCTTGCTTAACATGGGAGGACCCATGGGTGTTTGTTCGAGTTGGAAAGGACAGGAGAGACCATCTATCCTGGTCTTTGTTGGACCCATGAGGCGCAGAAAGGAGACATGTGGAGCTCATGGTGGCCACTTCCGGCTATAAGCAAGTCATGTGACTCTGGGTCCATGCCCCTTCCTGGAGTGGTGAGTGGGGGCAGGGATACTGCCTCTGACTCCAGAAGGAGCCCATGACCCCCCCCCCCTCACTACAGGGCATCTCCTCACTCACCACCCAGACACCATAGATGTCCCCACCCTTCCCCTCTCCATGTGCTCATTTACTCTGCTGTTAATAGAGTAATAGAGAAATTACTTTGCCAGGGCAGTAATTGCACCAGGAGACATTTTTCTCTCCAAGAGTAGGGCTGAGCTGATACTGCTAATGTTAGGTGTTAAGCCGGCAGGTGGTGATGTGTAAGTCACCTGACACTTGAGAAAGCCTCCCTTGCCCGGTTCTGTTCCCCGCGGACAGCAGCGCACTTTACTTACTTGCAGCTTTGCATTACTGGTGGACCGCCCAGAGAACGGTGCTCTCCGTTCCGTGTACTCTCCGTTCCGTGTACTGGGACTAGAATGAATGGTCAGGCCCATGGTTATTAGTAGCAAACCAGCTGTTCATTGTCACTATGGCTTATCAAGGTATTGACATTGATATTCCTGAGAAACATTCCTTAGCCAGGACTCTGAGCACCTGACTGGCCCCAGCCTACCCGCCCCCCACCCACCTCCCGCGGTACCTGGGGCAGGTAAGCACAGGCACCGGTTCCATTTCACAGAGGGACAGGGAATCAAGGTATAAAGAAAGATAAGGAGTCAAAGAGCTACCCGGGCAAGGGGCTAATATTCCCAGGCATCCCTTCCCCAGGTCCCAACTAGGAACGCCCTACTCTGCCCCACCCTCCCTGGCTTTCCTGGTTGGGAAGCCGGCAGAGTAGCTCTGCTGTTCCGTCTTGGGCCCTCTTGAGACCAGAGGTTCAGATCCCAGATTCACCACTGGTGCAGTGCACCTCGGGCATGGTTCTCGGGTAGTTCTTTCACAGGGGAGGAAAGCAGGTCTGGAGAGAATAGCTTCTGTCTCTCCCTGGAGGGTCGTTGCACACTGAATGAGATACGGTAGACACAACGAACTCTCCGTACGTGTGATAACGTCATCTACGACAGTGACTGGGTGCTTGAGTTAGAGTCCTGTGTCGCTTGAGGACAGCAGTGTTTTTACCATTGTCTCTTGCATGGGGAAGGTTGTGATCAAAGAGCAAAAATAGAAGGGTAATATCCTGCCTCGGGCGAGGGGGCGAGGGAAGAGAAGTAGGTTTGAGTCTGGGGCCCTTGGAAAACTTGGAGGCTTCAGTGCTTTTTTTAGAGTCGTGGGGAGGGTACGTCCCCCCCGATCCAGGGGGAGTAGTGGAGAGAGGTCATCTAGGGCATGCTGTAGATACCCCCTGAGTGCTAGCTCCCTGTTCTCTCCCCTCCCCATCCCTTCAGCCTTCGTGCCCCAATGGCAGGGGGCAGACTCTGGCCCCAGGGATGGTGGCCTGTACTCTTGGAGAGGACAGGAGCAGCTGAGGCCTTCAGTCCTTGGTCACCTAGCCAAGTGGCTTTGTGAGGCCCCTGCCGGCAGCCCTCGCTGGTGGAAGGACAAGAAATTGTTCCCCTTCCACCTTTTTGTCTGATCAACTTACTCTTTTGAGAGGTGCCAAATCTCTCCTGAGGGTCTCCCTGCACAAGGTGACCAGAGCCCGAGATGGAGGACAGACAGAGCCAAGTCTAGAGTGTGGCAGTTGGCTGTAGGGGGTGACCTGGGCCTCCCTTGAGCAGGGAAGAAGCCACAGAAGGGCAGCCTGGGGTGCTCTTGCCTGTGATCCAGGACAAAACCCTATACCTAGGCAGCTCTTCTCGTATGCCTCACCTTTAGCCCTCGCCTGGACCCCTTATGCTGGGGCAGAGCTGGGAGACCCCGTTCTGGCACTGGAGCTGCTGGGAGCCAGGCCCTGGCCTGGGTCGACTGTGTCGTGTGGTCAGAGGTCACCTAGTGTGGGCTGCATTGTCGGGAGGCCGGGCAGGGATGCAAAAATGAAGAGGCATTTAGGGACAGACAGGCTTGTGACCATGGAGGTGGCCAGAGCAGGGCCCTGAACACGTCGCTCACCCAGGCGGGCCCCCTGTCAGCTAAGTGACAAGCTTGCAGTCAGTCTCTCCCCTTGGTCCCCAGGGCTGGCCTACCCCGTGTCCGCACCCAGTTAGGGCTCTGAGCCACATGTTGGGCCCAGGCCGTCACCACCCCACAGTGTGTGTGGAGCTTGCCTTCCAGCCCAAGCAGGCTTGCTGTAACAGGGAACTTTGGTAGGTGCCCGAGGGGCCCCGGACCCAGGCTCAGGGGGCCTGCCTGGTAGAGAAGTCGGTTTTCTGTTTCACAGATCTTGGGCCGTGGCCCAGAATGGTGCCATTATTTCCTCTGCAGGCGAGTTTCAGTGGAGGGAGGCCGGCAGCCTGGAGTCTGTTGTAGGAGCGGGTGCCCAGGCAGCTCAGGGAGCCTTTCATCTATCTCCTTCCAGACTCTGGCCTCAGGGCTTCTTTCCCGGTGGTCCCTCGCTTCCAGGTGCCTTTCCCTCCCTCCCTTGGGCTGCCTGCCTCCCTCTCTGGCGGGGGAGCCAGTCCTCACCACCTCTGTGCCACCCGGGCAAGCGGGGCTGACTGCCAGTACCTTCCCGAGCATCCACTCGGAGTTGCAAACCTCACCCTTCTGGAACTGATGCTCTCTAGAGGACAGCAGGGACAGAGGCCATGTCAGGGGTCGCTGGGGGTTCAAGCTCATCTCACATCTTTCTTCAGCCCCTGCAGCCTCCGTGCCCCCCCCCCCAGAATAATGGAGAAACACAGATGCCGTCCCAGGAGAGCCCGCCCTGTGCTACTTAGCCACGTCCTAAGCACGGACTGAGTGTGGGATGACCAGACCATCTCAGCGTTCCTGAGGAACGGATGCCCTTCCTCAGGAGAGCCCCAGGGGCAGGTGCTCTGGGCATTGGTGTGGCTGGAGTGTGGCACGGGGCAGGTGAGCAGGCAGAGGTGCCGGCCCCTCTTACTGACCTCATTGTTTTTCTTTTCCTTCCAGACTGGAGACCCGCCCTGAATCTCGCTGCCCTGAACTGTGCTGATGAGACCAATAGTGCAGTCTGCAGAGACTTCAACATCCCCGGCTTCCCGACCGTGAGGGTGCGTGACAGGGGCGGGGGAGCAGGTGTGCTGCTGGAGGAGCGTGTGGCCGGCTGCCCCATGCCCCCCTGGCCCCGGAGCTCCATGGGTCTCCCATGCTTCTGGGCTTGATCAGCTTCGGTCACAGCCACTGGAGCACTGTCCCCGTGCTTGAAGAGACCCCTGCCACAGAGGCAGACAGGGGTATGAATTGGGAGGTTCGTTGGGTCTGGCAAGTTCTGCCCCTTAAAAAGGAAGGGGCTGTGGCAGGGGAGGGTAGTTATGATGGGCTGGTTTCAGCTACTCTGATTTGAGCTGTGAGGTGGTTATCGCCTGGGCTGGTGAGATCCCACAGCTCCCAAGGGCCTCTTTCCATTTCTTCTCCCTCCTGACTCCCAGCCTTAGAGGCCTGCTCTAACCCTATAAACCCCAGTTCGGGCTCTGACCCGCACACGGTCAAGATGAGATTCAGGAGGCCTGATGATCTTCCAGAAAATACCAGCAAGCTTCCTCCTCATCAGGCAAGTGCCTTGAATCCAAGTAGTTCAGAAGTGACCTGTCAGGGTAGCCTCACCCCGTGGTCAAACACCAGTGCCTCAGGCAGCAGAGATCCCCATCACGGGAGTCATCACACCCGGCACATGAGGGCTCTGTCACCCCGGCTCTGGCTGAAAGTAGCGTGAGCTCTCCAGTGAGGCCTTACCTGACAACCTGCCCACTGTGGGGCATCGACAGCTTAATTACCATCTGAACAACTTCCAAGGCTCTGGGAAGCCGAGAAGGGCAAGGCTGTGCAGTTACACTCAGTGCCCTTCCAAGGGCTCAGGCCCAGCTATAATGCAGTTAGTTTGCTTCCACATTAAAGAATCAGAACCTTTCTCCCTACCTCCAGCTGTAATTAGCCTCTTTCTACCAGAATGGCATCTAGAAAAGCATTTCTTCTATAACCACTAAGAATAATCCGGAAAGGCCTCTGAAAGCTAAAATGCCAAGTATTGTCCCCTGAACAAGATATCTGAGCTCAGGGTCCTCAAGTTCTGAGCAGAACCATGAGCTGAATCTCAGCCTAATTACTCCAAGAGAATTTGTCTGGAAAGCCCGGCTCCAGAAGGAATGTCCAGCTTGAACTCCATGTGACCTTTCTGTTCCTCATGCCCAGTGAAATCCTGCTGGGCTCGAGATCCCCACAGACTGAGAGGGCTCCGTCCAACGTTCTTGTTACCACTTGGGGACCAGTCCTAGGCCCCAGGTTTAGCCAAGACCAGACTGGTCTGGGGAACAGGTCCTGCCGTATCACTTAGAGGCCCCAGGAGAGAGATGGCTTATCAGTCATCTCTTTCAAGTCAAAGACCTCCCTAGCAGGGCCATTGCTTTGCCATATCCTCATCTCAAAACATGTAACTGAAAATATTCCAAATTACTCTTCAGGGGTGGACGAGGATCTCTGTTGCTTTGGCTGAACCAGGGTGAGCAGCCCTGTGTGAAAAGTTGTGGGAAAACCAGTGCGTCTGGAAGAGTCCTCGTTCACAGGCTGCTGCTTTTCTCAGCGAGGACTGGCCCTGGGGGTCCAGCCCCCTGGGAATGGGACGGGCATTGGTGCCAGGGCCAGGTCAGGACATCTGGAGGGAGGAGGCAGGTTCTGTGGGACCTGGCACCCGAGGCTTGGTGTTTCTACCTGGGAGAGGCCGGGGCTCGGTGGATGTGAGGGAGGTCCCCAAGTTCCCGGCGCCTACCCAAGTCACGCAGCACACGCAGCCTGAATGCCTCGTATGATTAATCATGTCCTGCCCCGCCCAGCTGGCTGTGGGATGGGAGCTGGGAGGGCCCAGAGCTGGTCGTCTAGACCTTCCCCAGCCTCCACACGGGCAGTGCCTGGCTGGGCCTGGCAGTTCAGTTTCAGCCGGGAAAGGCCCTCAGTGCCCTGTCCTCTGGCCTCTACCCCAGGGGCCAAGTGCTTCTAGATCCCGCTGGGTCTCTGCTCTAAGGCGCGACCGAGTAAGATACGTACACTTCACAGAGAGATCCAGAAGTTGGTTTGTGTGTGATCGCCAGCTCGAAAGTTTCATAAAACGATATTCATTCTTTCTAAATGCAGTACACGCTGCTATTTTCTATTCCATATACTTTTTAAATTAATTTTTTTTTAATTCTAGCTGTGATTCACTAAATTGATGCTACAGTTTAGGTTGCTTCTAATGCTTGCAAAAGGCCGCTCTCTACAGATCGTAGATCTCCACAGAGTCTGGCGTGCCTGTAGGCATCATGGCTGGACTCCCTGGAAAGCAGTGCAGACCCTCCAGGTCGGCCTGGCTGTCAGTGGGCTGGAGAGAGCGCCCTGTGGCCCTGTGTGCTGCGTCCCGGGGGCTGGGCGGGTTCTCACTCCTATGCATAAAGGCTGTGAGAACTCTAAGGTGAGGGCACACACTGAACAGGGGAAGAGAGAGTGTTGCTGGTATGATGGACACAGACCCACACATGAGTCTGGGCCACCCCCAGGTACAGGTGTCATTGTCCCTTTCCTCCGCCTCCTGCCCCTTGTCACCATTCGTAGGCAATGAGCTTCCACTAGCCCAGCCTGTTTAGCAAACACCAGGCCCTGCAGGGCCTGCTGTGTCAGGGGCCCTTCAGACCAGCCAAGCTCAGCGGGAAGAAAACAAAGGTGTGGGGGAGGGAGGGAGGAACTAGCTGGCAGCAGGTTCTGGCTGGAGCTTAGGGAACCTAGAGGCTGGATCTCGAGGGGAGGGGCCTTGCCATGGGCCACAGGAGTGCCCTCAGGGAGTCATCCATAAGGACCCCTTGTAGCCAAAGGCCCAGCTGGGATTAAGATTGCAGAAGGCATCAACATTGGGGTGGGAGAGGACAGAAATCTCCCCTTTGCAAGATCCTTAGGTAATTGATGTGGGTTCAAATTCTGGTCCCACGGCTTACTACTGTATGTACTAGATATGACTCAGAGTGTTTAACAGTGCCTCGGCGACAGGCCTCAGTTTCCTTCGTCTCTAAAAAGTGGGATGATAGTATCTATACCTAATAGGATTGTTGCCAAGTGTGAAGTGAGGTCTTACACGCGAGAGGGAGGAGACACCGGGTGGTATTACTTGGAGTTCAGTTAATGTCACTCGGCTTCCTTCCCGCTGTCCTGTCTCCTCCCTAAGTCACCCTGTGGAGCTCCCGGTAGCTCCTCTGTGGGCTCTGCATTTAGGCCGTCCGTCTGTCCATCCATCAGCAGCTGTTGAGTGAGTTGAGTGAGTACTTGCCGGGGGCCGACTTGGTGCTCACCAACCCGCCAGCAGGCGGTGAGTGATCCATATGCGGTAGATGCCAGAGGAGCTCACCTGGGCTCACTGAGCCCTTTCCCTCACGTGTCAGAGAGGAGGGGACTTCCACTCGGTGTTGGAGGATATATGGGTCTGGGCTAGGAGGGGAGGAATGCCGGCCGGGGAGGAGGTAAGAGCAGAGGCCCTGTGTGGGCAGAAGTGTGTCACAAGTTGAGAAGACTTGTCTGGCTGGGGCAGAGGCTCCTGGGCAGGGTTGAGGCAGGGCTGAGGCAGGGTTGTGGCAGGGCCCTGAACTCAGGGCTGGGAGGTGGATACACTTTGGGGGTACAGAGGCTCGACTGTTACCTTATGTGGCTCTTGTGATGGGGGAGGCGTCAGAGGGGGTGACTCCTGCCTCTCTCTGGAGGAAGGATATGGGCCCCCACCCCCCTGCTGTCCTCCGGCCTCCTCCACAATCAGTCTCCAGCGTAGGGATGGTTAGGCGTGTGGATCCTCCTGGGCTCACTGTAAGCTGTTTGGAGATGGGGTCATTTTCCTCGGAACTTGTTTTAAAAGCTGGGCCTCAGTGTCATTGATTATTGCTGCTGGGAAGTGTGCTGCCCGTTCAGCCTTGACTCCTAGAAAGGCAGGTGCTCCTTGATATTGGTGTTGATTTTTGACAGTTTGGTAAGACCCACCTTGTGCCTCTGGGGAGCCGTGGAGGCCTTCCAGGAGCACCAGCGCTGGGGAGGGCAGAGGCTAGTGATGGAAGGAAAGGGTCCCGGTGCCAACCGCTCCTGGAAAAAAGAAGACTCACTGCTCACATCTTAAATACCTGTTCCCAAGGAGTGGTGGTGGTTTCCCCTAGGGAGGCACACGCCTCCAACAGCTGACTTAAGAAGGATGCCTTTTAATAGGAGGACAAAAATGTGCCCTGACTAGATTTTAATATGATTTTCACATGAGCATCTATGGTGATCAAAGGACAGAGAGTTTCTCTGTTGGACTGAATAGATGTCTTTTGAGTACTTCCATGTCCTAGACACTGTGGGGCTTGCCGAGATGCCGAAGTGTGGTCCTGTCCTCAAGAAAGTTCAGGTTCGGGGCACCTGGGTGGCTCAGTGGGTTAAGCCTCTGCCTTCAGCTCAGGTCATGATCACCGGGTCCTGGGATCGAGCCCCGCGTCAGACTCTCTGCTCGGCAGGGAGCCTGCTTCCCCGTCTCTCTCTACCTGCCTCTCTGCCTACTTGTGATCTCTTTCTCTCGGTCAAATAAATAAATAAAATCTTAAAAAAAAAAAAAAAGAAAGAAAGAAAGGAAAGAAAGTTCAGGTTCCAGGCCCATCATAGCCAAAGTGTAGGAAAGAAGGGCAGTGGAAGATAAGTTTCAGTGTTTGGGTCAGATCCTGGAAGGCTTTGAGCACAGTGAGTTTGGACATTATTCACTGGTAATGGGGAGTCGTGGAAGAGATTTGAGGAGGAGGGACACGATCAGACTAGAACAGTGCCACTAAGCAAAGTGCAATGAGGAGCAGTTGGAGAACAAAAAGATGGAGCAGATGAACATTTCTGAGCTCACAGACTGGTAAGGACTGTTGCATTAGTCTAGGAAATAGATGGTAAGCCCTTGTCCGGACAAGGCAGCCGGCCCAGAGCACTGCTGAAGAATCACAAGGTCAAGTTCATAGATCTTGTCCTCTGACTGGCAGATGGAGGTTGCGGGGGAGAAGATGCTGGTCTGGTTAATGGGGAGGACATGGGGTGAGACAAGGAACACAGATGGAGAAACAAGTTGGGGGAGGGATGACTCGGTCTTGGTCGGGGGGCTGGTACCCGTGTGGAGGGCACCAGGAGGAAACAAGTCTAGGACAGGTGAGGACTTGAGACAAAGGGTTCAGATGGCAAATCATTTAGACCAAGTACATGATGTTGGCAAGGAAGACAAACAGTAGGCTTGTTTGTTCACTCATGTACTTGCTCCCTCATTCAAAAACATGGACACACACACACACACACACACATGTTTGTGACAGTACTTCCCAGAGAAGAGTGTCGAGCTGATACGTGGCAGGAGGAGAGACTGGGGCAAGAGATCATGGGGGCAGTAGACAGGAAAGGAGTCAGGGGAGTGGCTAGGACAGGGCTAGGGGAAGGCTGGGAAGGTGGCCAAGCAGGCCTGGTCAGTGTCGGATGAATCAAGGGAGGTGGCAGCAGGAAGGCCAAGAAGGAGCACATCGGCATATGTGGTACCAAACATGGCAGACCCTGGCCCTGTGGGGAGGGCAGGCAGTGCCACCATGAGACACAGCAGAGAAAGCAAGTGGTGGGGGGGTACAGTGGGATCAGAGAGGGGCAGTTGGAGAGGCAGAGCAGACACTGCTTCGAGAAATCTGTCAGCCCAGGGAATCGGGACATGCTGTAACTGGAGCAGGGAGGAGGGCCTCTCTCGATTCCCATCTGCCTGTCCTTCATGTCCCTTTTTTTTTTTTTCTTTTTTTTAAGGAATTAAATTAAGAGGATCGGAATCTACTTGCAGGCCTAGGGAATTTGCTGGCAGAAAGGGGAAAGAGAGGTTAATTGACAGAAAAAAGTTCCTCAGAACATGAAGTGGGAGCCAGAGCTCCAGTGCTGCCGTCCCTCTGGAAGGCAGATGGGAGGCTTCTGAGGGCAGGAGGGAAGGCCGTGTGTGTGACAGCACAGGGGAACGTGGAAGGACATGGAGGGACTTCCCGTGACCCTGCACTTCAAGGACTGTGTCTCCGAGTCCCTGCATTCCCCTGGGTCAGTCTTGCTGGGGCTCCTGCCTGACCCCTCACAAGCCGGGCCCTCAGAACATTCAGCCAGGGGCCGGCAGGCTGCCTCTTGATGGAGGTAAGGCCAGCCGCCTTGCAGTGAGGCACCTGCTCAGATCCGGGGGAGGCTGTGGTGGCCGAAGAAAAGTGACCACGCTGCTGAAAATAACAGCTGTAGCGGCGCGGGTCCGCCCTGAATTCCCACCATTCAGGGAACTTGTGAGCATTTTTACAAGTGTTAGGGTAACGTGTAATCTCACTCAAAATTTGTTCAGTGACTGCAAAGGATATTATTATAAATATACATGGCATGTATCAGCAGATGGTTTCCACCCAGAATAAAAGTTTATATTGATGGTCTAAGAAAAGAGAATAAAACAACAGGACTTAGGAGCCGGGTAAGGGCTGGGGGAACAGGATAAGGTTGCAGGTGGCAAGACATGGGAAGGTGGGCAGGTGACGTCCAGATTTTCGTGTTCTGCCTACAAATGACTAGAATAAATACATGCTAGCTGATCAGTGTTTCCTTTTTTTTTTTAAGATTATATTTATTTATTTGACAGAGATCACAAGTAGGCAGAGAGGCAGGCAGAGAGAGAGGAGGAAACAGGCTCCCTGCCGAGCAGAGAGCCCAACGCGGGGCTCGATCCCAGGATCCTGGGATCATGACCTGAGCCGAAAGTAGAGGCTTTAACCCACTGAGCCACCCAGGCGCCCCTGATCAGATTTTTCTAGCGTTTAGAAGGTGGAACAAGGGAAGGGGGTGATAATCACCCTGCAGGTAACATGTATTAATCCCCTACTGTATGCATGAGCCACAAGCGCTGGAGACGTATCATCTTTGAGTCCTCACAGCAGTTCCTTGAGGTGATGGCGCCATCCTTGTCTTAAAAATGAGAAGGGATTGCCCAAGGTCACCCTGCAGGGGTATGGCAGAGCCAGGTCTGGTGCCCAAGTCTGGTAGACCCCGGGGCCTGCACTCAACCGCCAGCTTGGGAGAAGTCCGGATGGATGGCCATGCCGTTGCAGCAGAGGCCCGAGGAAGCTACAGGTGGCCCCAGATCTCAGGAAGAGTCTTCTTCCCAGCCCGCAGGCTCTCTGCCAGACACTCAGGTGGCTGTCTATCTGTCAGGACCACTAAGCTTGACTCCCTGCTGAGCCCGTGAGAGCACAGGCCAGAGCTCTAGCAGCAGTCTTGCCACTTAGGCAGAAGCCCAGATTCTGACAAGTTGTCTTTGTTCTCTCTGTCCTCTTGCCCAAGGAGGTGACAGACTGAGCCCGGAGTGTCCTGTAAATGGGAAAAGGGGACAAAGTGATGAGTGCAGTTGACCTGTCTGTAACTAGACTTGTGTCTGCAGGGGCTCAGGCCCACCCTTCAGCAGGACCTGACCTGGAGACCCCTCCCTTCACGGGGTGTCTGCCGAGCCAGGCTGCGAGTTCTCCGTGGACAGACCCCAGCCGCTGGTGATGGTGGACAGATTGCCTCAGAGGGCAGCTGACACTTCCCGGGGGACGTATGAAGTGACTTTGTTTCGTCAGTTAAGTCAGCCTTATCCACTCAGTCATGCAATGAGTATTTTCATTCATTCGTTTCAAGTCGGAGAGACTGTCCGCCACTCGTGGAGTGTGTAGGCTGCTCCTGTGTGTCCCGGGTGCGTCAGAGCCACGGGGGTGGGGATCGGATGCGCGGACAGTGGGGACAGGAATCAGTGTGCAGCTCCGATACCTCCCTGTTCTCCTTACAGACGAGGGAACTGAGGCTCAAAAAAGTTAAGTCATTTGCCCGAAGTCAGCCTCTTTAGTAAGCAGCAGGTCTCAGACACCGATCCCTCTGGCCCCCGTGTGGGAGTCTTAGCTCCGTGTGTTACTGACTCTTGCCCGTGTGTTTGCTTCCAGTTCTTTAAGGCCTTTTCCAAGAATGGCTCAGGATCAGCATTGCCAGGTGGGTGTCCTGGTTCCAGTTGTCAGTATCTTCTTTTTCTTTCTGATGGGTTCCTGCTGAGATGAGGAGAGCCCAGCAAGTTCCGTAGGGTGAACGGTTTCCTAAGTGGAAATGGAGTTTTGTGTTTTCCTGGGGCCTTCCCGGCCAGCCTGGACGATGCCTTCTGGAAAAGGGGGCTGAAGAAACCCTTCTGTTTTGCTCTATTCAGGGTCCTGGGAAGAGGGGAGGGTCGCCATGAACCCAGACTAACCCGTCATGTCAAAATGGGGCTGGCATCCAGAGGGACAGAGCAGACATCCTCCAGGGAAAAGCACTCACGGGCTCCAGGCCAAGGGGCTGCTTCCTGCCCTCTGAGGGATGGGTCTTCTCGTGTAACTTAGGGCCACAGAAGAAGACCCCACCGCACTGCTCTAATAGAGAAGGACTGACCCATGCTCTGTTTCTCTCAGAACTAGCCTGTGCCCCGGGCCCTTTGTTTCAGCAAAGCTGACAAGGCCATTGGGATTATTCCTCCCTCCTCATGCGCCCCCTCCCCCATGTCCGTCTTCATCCAGTGGCTGGTGCTGATGTGGAGACGCTGCGGAAGAGGCTCATTGACGCCTTGGAGTCCCATAGTGACACGTGGCCCCCCGCCTGCCCCCCGCTGGAGCCTGCCAGGTATGCGGGGCTGGAGCAGGTGTGGTGCGGTGTGGGCCAGGATCGCAGGCCTGGGATTGAGAGGGTAGCGGGGACAGCTGCGTAGGGGATACGAAGGCCTTTGTCTCTGGGGCAGACCCTCTGTGGGCTAGAGCCCGGAGCCGCTCTGGAGCCACTGGTAGGAGACTCCCTGTCGCTGGAGGGCCTCCCTGCGGAGCCCTGGCTTTACAGGGCGGAAGGGTGCAAGGGAAGGAAGAGATGGGCGGGGGTTCTCCGGGCCATGCCTGCCTCTGCTTTTCACAGCCTGCGCTCAGGAATGTTTGTGGGGTGCAGCAGACTTCACAGGATCTTACCCAGAGGGGGCACTGACAGAGTGGACATGGGGACGAAGAAGGAAGGCTCAGAGGAAAAGGGAGCCCTGCCTATAAGAGGAAGTGGTCATCTTTCTGAGCGGTGGCTGTGACGGGGGGTGGGCCACACGGCTGGTGGCCCGCATCTGCCTGCCAGGCAGGCTTCCAAGATTGCCTCTTCTAGAAGGAAGGGGCACGGTGCCTCGCTTCAGCTCTCCCACAGAGGGTAAACTGAGAGCACTAGGTCTCGCCCTCCTAGATGAGAACTTGAGACAGGATAGAGCCCGCCTCAGGGATTCCTGCCAAGAAGGAGCAAATCTGGGTACCAGCAGGCACTGCTGGAGGGAGCCCAGCCTCAGAGCACAGGGAAGATCCCAGGGCCTGAGGAGGCTCATGAAGCAGGCGCTGGGGCTCCAGGCCCCCCACATCGATTTACTCATGTTCTTGAAAGCAGTAGTCCTGCCGACAGACTATGCTGCTAGCGTCAGTTGGGGTTGAATCCAACCCGCAATTTTTTTTTTTTTTTATCAGCTTGTCCAAGTGTCCCTCCTCCTAGAGGGTCCCACAGAGACCCTGGGCCCAGTGTTATTCTTGGTATGGTTTGGGGCTGCCCTAGACCCCTTCTCTCCGGGAAACATTCCTGCCAGCCTGCCCTTACTTACATTTCTCAGTGACCGTGTCCATCTCTCTCTCTCTCATGCACACACATCCTTCATGGTGCGTTTTCAGTCCCACGGATCTCAGAAGCCGCAGGTCAGGAAGACCTGCCAACCTCATGGGTCCTAAACATTGTCTGTATTCACTCAGCCTTGCCCTTACCAGAACACAGAGACTGCTGGTCTCAAAGCCCCCCTCCCGTCCTCCTCCTCCTCCTGCTCCTCCCGAGGCCACCTCATACTCACTCCAGATTCTTAAAAGAGACAGCGTGGAGGGGAAAAAAATCAACAATGTGGGCCAAACAGAGAAGCAGCTTGTGGGGAAGCAGAGGCAGCGTCCTCTGAGACTAAGGGTTTGGCTTGCTCCCCCTGGAGGGCTGGCGGGGGCGACTTCCATGGAGCCTCGAGTGGGAACAGGACGGGGATATATGGCTGCCCCCATAGTTTTGTGACAGGCGTGCTGTCCCCAGCAGGTCACTGCCGCTCTTGTCTCTTGCAGGCTGGAGGAGATTGATGGATTCTTTGCGAGAAACGACAAAGATTACCTGGCCCTGATCTTTGAAAAGGAAGGCTCCTACCTGGGTAGAGAGGTGAGCTCCCCCCAGGGTCCCTGCAACCCCAAGGTGGACGTCAGCAGAGAGCCCAGTGAGTTCAGGGGCTGGGCTGTTCTGGGGTCTCGGCCACGTGCACGTCTTAGCCCAGCACTGGCCTGACCCCTGCTGGAGGACCCAGGAAGTGTGGGAACTGGGCCTTTCCGTGGGAAAACCTTTGTCTTTTTTCTCTCTCTCGTTGACCGCGCCTCTGCAACACCCGCTGTTCACTGAGCACAGGACTAGAGTGCGGCACACGTAGTCGCTAATCTTCACAATTAAGGTTGATGATCGGGTAACAGGTTGAAGGGCCCCGGGCCAGTGGATTGGTGGAGCAGGGCTTTGAACCAGGTCTGTGAGTGCCGCAAGCCTGGTGGTTTCCACACCGCCCCACCCCTGCGGAACTGGAGCCTGGGTGTGGGGAGGGGCGGTCAGAGCTCGTTCGGGGACTCGGGAGGAAACAGTAACCGAACAGGCAGGTGTGAATTACTGCCCCATGGTGACCTGTCTGTCTGCCCCAAGCCCTGTTTCCCTGTCTGGAAAGCGTGATTGTTCCCTTTCCTCAGAGCACCTCTGGCACAGACGAGGCAGGTTAGGGGAAGGGCCTGGACTGGTAGCTGGTGCAGAGTAGGTGCTTTTTAAAGATCCGTTCCCCTGGCCTAATGCAGAGAGCTCTCCAGTCTGCCGCGGGCGCACAGACTTCTCTACACCCCTTGTGGGCTTTTCCCAGACGCGAGGGGGGACGGGCCAGGCCATGGGTGAAGTCCCAAGGCAATGCAGGGATGCAGAAGAGGCACGAGGTGGAGATGAAATTAAACACGACTGCTGGCTCCGACTGCTTTCCTCCTGAAATTCCTCAAGCATATCCAGGGTGCTGCGGGCTGCCTCCAGGCCTCTGAGCCCTGAGAGGGGAAACAGAGGACGATGGGGAGGGGCACGGAGCTTTGCTGAAGGACTTCCTGACCCTTCTGGGGTCCCAGTCCAGGCCTAATGACGAGGAAGTGATTAATAAATGTTCATTGGAAACAGATCTTCTCCCTACTGTCCCGCAGGGCCAGGTACCCTGTGTCCACGCAGAGGTGCTCAGAGATGGTTAGTGTGAGAAGCAGGAGGGCTCAGTAGTCAAGAGCCCAGACCCTGGAGCAAGTTTAACTGGGGTGCATTGCCCAGTCCCGGCACTTCCTGCCTCTGTCCCCGAGCACTTGATTTCACTGCTTAGCCTCTGTGTTCTCGTTTGCAATAAACATTTTAGTTTTTTGGTTTTTTTTTTTAAGATTTTTTATTTATTTATTTGACAGGGAGAAAGATCACAAGTAGGCAGAGAGGCAGGCGGGGTGGGGGGAAGCAGGCTCCTTGCTGAGCAGAGAGCCCGATGCGGGGCTCGATCCGAGGACCCTGAGATCATGACCTGAGCCGAAGGCAGAGGCTTAACCCACTGAGCCACCAGGCGCCCCAAGACATTTTAGTTTTTTAATGAACACTTATATACCCCAGTTACTTAAACATGCCCCAGTCACTGTTACACATTTCATAAAATTAACCCCTTTGGTCCTTTTAACAGCCCTCTGAGGTTGGTATGTGTGTTATTATTCCAGTTTTGCAAGTAAAGAAATGGAGTCGGGGAGGTTTAGGCCAGTGGGGCCAGGATGCAAACGCAGGCAGCCCCCGGCTTGGTCTCCTAATAATAGTTCCCATCTCATAGCATTATTTTGAAGATTCAATGAAGCGATCCATAACAGTCATAATACCTTCTCAGTAAATGTGAGCTAACACGATTTTCCCCCTTATTTCTTTCTAAAAATAAAATCATGTCTAAGTATGTTTTTCTGATTTGGAATAGAGATAGAAAGCCTTGTAAATATAAGAATAAAAATGAAACCACATTTTATTATGCCTTCTACAAATTACTTTCATTAGAAAGAAAATTGCATTAGATTGGACTGCCCTAGGGAATTCAAGGCGTGTGGTGTGCACAGTTCCAAGGCCCCTGTCCTGGGTAGCAAGTGCCTCTTGTCGCCTGTGGGGTAGTTGTGGTTGGTGGCAGGAGACTGCTGGCACACTCGTCCACTCCCCAAAAGGCTTAGAGTCTGGATGGTGCCCGCCCAGGGCTCCCTCTGCCCAGTGGCTGGGCCCCCGCCCCCACCATGTCTGTCTGTTTCCACAGGTGACTCTGGACTTGTCCCAGCACCAAGGCATAGCAGTGCGCAGGGTCCTGAACACGGAGGGTGATGTGGTGAGCAAGTTCGGGGTCACTGACTTCCCATCTTGCTACTTGCTGTTTCGGAATGGCTCTGCCTCTCAGGTCCACGTGTGAGTGCTGTGTGTCCCTCCGTCCCCTCTCTCCTCTCCCCCTGCCCACATCCCGCCTTCCCGCCTACAGAAGCCTGCCATGTTCTTCCTCCTACAGTTGCTCTGAGGAGCCCCCTTCTGCAGGAGAAGCAGCTGTGTATGGAGTGGGTGGGCAGTGCCAGGCACGCGGCCCCCCGGCCTCCAGCTCAGGAGTCCGGTCTTGGGCCCCTGGTGCACTCGCCGCTGCTCCAGCGCCATCGCCCTGGCAGCCCTGCTCTAGTCCCCATCCTCCGCGGTTCACAGACTCCTTGGCAGGCTGCGGGCCTGGCACTCACTCAGATATGCCTGACCCTCCCTCCCTTTGGTTTTCTAATTGCAGAAAAGTTCATTAGGAGCTAGACAATAGCCAGTTCCAAAATGCCAAGAGAAAACAATCAGGCCAGCCTCAGCCCCTCTGTCAGGCTCCTGCTGCTGAATGGCCTGTTAAATGGCGCCAGATGGTGCCTCGGTGCCCTCCCTGGGCAGATGATTGATGTCGCCTGGCTCCTGCCGGCAGGACCTCAAGGGCCAGGGAGACCAAGACTTGCCTGAGGTGCCCAATGAGCTGCCCTGTGGGGCCGTTAGCGCAATCCCGGAAGGAGGCCCGGCAGGGCAGCCCCTGGCCCTTGCCGGCCCCAGTGGCCAAACAGCACTGGGCCAGCCTCGTCAGGGAATTCCGCCGGGGGAGGGAAGCGTGTGGCAGCAGAAGGACAGGGAGGGACAGAAAGTGCCAGTCCTGGTGGGGACAGGAGGCATTGTCTCCTCACTTGGAGCTGGTGGAGGGGAAAATTGTTTGTGACGACGCTGCTCCTGAGCCATCTGCTGGGCGATAAACATCGGGCCGGGACAGCGGTGTGGAAAGCGGTGCTTCCCGGTGCCAGCTCCCCCGGGGTGTCCCCTCACGTGGCTGCTGGTCTTCACACCCTCCCTCCAGGCGGCCGTGACCAGGAGGTGTCGCCTGCCCTGAGGACTCTCTGTCAGAAGAGAGAAAAATCAAAAGGATTGTACAAGGATTAGAGAATTTAGTGTTGTTGTTATTACTGCCTGTTTTTAAAAAATCAGGTATCAAACCCCCTTGATTTCCTTGGGGAGTAGGGCCACCTCTGGTACCTCAAAGCAAGCTCGTGAGTGGGCAACCTCCTTTGGTCTCCGGCAGAGATAGTCAGACCCAGCCATCCTGTCCATGGGCAGAAGTAGCTCCGTCCCACAGCCCCTCCAGGGCAGGCTGAGGAATTCTCAGACCTGCCGCTTTTCCAGATGGGGCTTGGGCCTCAGACTGGTGTCAGAGAGCCTTTCCACAGCATGAGTAGTGGGTGGAAAGGCTAAAATAAGGCCTGGGCGCCTTGGTTTGACCTCACTGAGGATGAGATGTAACCAGATTCAAGTATGTCTTTTTTTTTTTTTTTTTTTTTTTTTTGAGATTTTATTTATTTGACAGAGACAGCAAGAGAGGGAACACAAGAAGGGGAGTGGAAGAGGAAGAAGCAGGCTCCCCTCTGAGCAGGGGGCCCGATGTGGGGCTTGATCCCAAGACCCTGGGATCAAGACCCAAGCAGAAGGCAGATGCTTAACGACTGAGCCACCCAAGTGCCCGAGATTCAAATATTTCTTTCTTTTCTTTTTTTTTAAGATTTTATTTATTTATTTGACAGACAGAGATCACAAGTAGGCAGAGAGACAGGCAGAGAGAGAGGAGGAAGCAGGCTCCCTGCCGAGCAAAGAGCCCGATGTGGGGCTCGATCGTAGGACTCCAAGATCATGACCTGAGCCGAACGCAGAGGCTTTAACCCACTGAGCCACCCAGGCGCCCCTGGATTCAAATATTTCTTAATAAACATTTCTGTCAAGGGGCGCCTGGGTGGCGCAGTTGGTGAAGCATCTATAGCTCTTGGTTTTGGCTCACGTCGTGATCTCAGGGTCATGGGATCAAGCCCCATGTCGGGCTCCACACTCAGCACAGAGTCTGCTGGAGATTCTCTCCTTCTCCCTCTGCCCCTCCTGCCTATGCTCGCTCGCTCGCTCTGAAATAAATAAATAAATCTTTAAAAAATAAATTAAAAAAATAAACATTTCTGTCAGCTGAGCCACCTGCCTCCTCTCCTGACATGATTTTGTCCTGGGGTCTCTTTCTCCATACCCACTGCCTCCCCTCTGGTTTCTTCCCTCACAGGCTTGCGGAATCCAGGTCCTTCTACACCACTTACCTGAAGAGGTTCTCCAGGGCCCCCCAGGAGCCTGTCCCCACCAAGGCTGTGCCAACCACTGCTCACACAATAGCTCCCACTGTGTGGAAAGTCGCAGATCGGTAAGGCCACGCCCCCTTGCCTCCCCAGAGCCTCACCTCTGATCACAGAGCCCCGGCCTCCATACCACACTCTGGTCCCTATCTTGAGCTTAGCACATGCCTTTCCAATCGCAGACCCCCTGAAGCCTGGCCTTGGCCTTTGGGCTCCCCTGGCTGCCGACCACACACAGAAGAGTCATAGTTGTTGGGATCAAGCAGCAGTCACCCAGGGGCCAGCCCCGTGTCTGCTGACTGTGGGAGGTGCCAGACAGCACTTGCTTGTGTAAGTGATGGAGTGAACACTTTCCAATGCCCACATTCCTTAAACTTAACGCGATTCAAGAGCAAGTGGGATCAGCTTGGAGGGATACCCTGTGGCCTTCTGACCAACTTCCCACCCGAGCAGCCATCTCTTCTGCAGATGTTTTTGAGTACCTGCTACCCACTAGGCACTGTAATTCGGACACACACAGATATGCAGTCCCTTCCCCCAGAGTTTACAGCCCCTTCCAGGAGGTCACTGACCTCTTCTGAATGCCTCTGGTGCCGGAGAGCTCACTACCTTCTGGGCTAGCCTGTATCTTTGTGCATAGACATAACCATGAGGAAGCTGCTTTTCTCTCCCAAGCCCCTTGGCTCTGCTCTTGCAGCAGAATTCCTGCTCGTTGGGTAGGAGATGGGGCTCTAAGCCTCTTAAGCTGGCACCGGCGGTATGCCAAGGAGAAATGGCTGACCGGGCGGCTCAGAGCCGCATCGGGAAGGTGGCCTCCACGAGGAGACGGTACAGGAGAACTGAGGGAGAGGTCATCTGATTTCCAGAGGGTTTTGCATCCCAACATGAAGGACTTGCAGGGTAGGAAGTGAGAGTTTTAGTAAATTGGGTAAGAAGGAAACAGAGACCTAGACGTGGGAACTGTCATCACGGTCGTTCACATTATGATGACTCCCATCGTTCGAATTATAGCCGCTGACACTTATGGGCCTCAGGGGCCAAGCTCCGTGCTGGGCACCTTCCATACATTATCCCATAAGTCAGGGGCCACGTCTTGAGGCAGACCGCAAGAATGGAGAGGTACCCAGACCCAGGACACCGCGGTGGCGGCTAGAGAGGGTCCTTTGCCCTGAGGGTAGAGCATAGGGGTTTACAGCACTGACCCCTTGAGCGACCCTGCTGGCTCCCTGCAGCGTTAGGAGGTAGGTGCGGCTGGAGTAACCAGTTCACTTTACAGGTGGGGTCGCTGAGGCCCAGAAGGGTAGACTGAGTTGCCTCCCAGAACTGAGGCCAGAACCCAGGCCTCAGGAGGCAGGGATAGAGAAGCAGCCACCGTGCCGAGCCCTTTCCTACAGAAGCTCGAGCCCAGGCCCTGAGCCAGCAGGATGGGTGCGGCGTGAGGCAGCCAGCTTGGAGCCTGCAGCCTTTCCCCCGGGGCTGGGATGGCCCAAGAGGTGTGACCGGGAGCCTCACCCGCTCCCCAAGGCCTGGCAGCTGTGAGGACATCAGCCCCCAAATAAAGACACGCCAGTTGCCCTCCTAACCCTCAGCCCCCACCATGCCCTGCCTCGGAGCGCAGCCGGAGCCTTGGTCTTTCAAAGAGGGCCAAGGTTTCCAGAGCCACATTGTCTGGGCGCACCCATTGTTCTGTCTGTCCCTAGGGGTCTTTGTTCAGAACAGGGAGCAAAACTCAGCCTTCCCCCAGCCGCCTGATTAAAAGCACCTTCAGTGAGTCCCAGGAGGGGCCGGCCCTGAGCCTGTGGAGGAGACCCCTACTTCGTGCCAGGAGCTGCCGAGTGGCTTGCGTTTCTGCTCTTATTTATTCCTCTCAGCAGCCTTCCCGTGAGCAATTTATTATTTCTCTGTTATAGTAAATGAGGAACTGTGGCTCAGAGAGATTAAGTAATACTCAAGGTCACAGAGCTGGTTAGTGGCAGAGCCCAGTGCTAACTTACAGGACTCTGTGACCATCGGCAGTGGCCCTCCCCTTCCCTCCCTGTAGCGCTGGGTGCTCATCCCCAGCCCCCAGCCTGTGGTTAACACCCCCCCCCTCTCTCCACCGCCTTCTGGGTCCTCAGCTCCAAGATCTACATGGCTGACCTGGAATCCGCGCTGCACTACATCCTGCGGGTGGAAGTGGGCAAGTTCTCTGTGCTGGAGGGGCAGCGCCTGGTGGCCCTTAAAAAGTTCATGGCCGTGCTGGCCCAGGTGAGCAGGGCCCCAGCCTCCCTTGTCTGTACCCCCCTTGGGAGCTCCTGATCTGGCTGGACACCTGGACCCACAGCGGTCCCGGTCCACCGAGGGCTGCTGCCCCAGGCTGCTGGCTGGGTAGGGCAGGGCCGGGTGCCCTGGGATGTTCCCCGCGGATTCTGCCTGGGTCCCCCACTACAGTCGGAGCATGGAGTGAGGCCATGGTCACTGGGGAAGTGGGACCCGCGGATGCCACAGGGAAGGAAAGAAGGCTTTTCTGCATCTCCTCTCTTCCTTCCCAGTCACTGGTCATAGTGTGACCGGCTCCTTGGCCACCCCTTCCTGGTGGTTTCCAGCCGACATTGCTACTCTCTGAAGTGTAGCTCCTGCCTGTTGGGGATCTGCTGTGTGTCAGGCATTTAATCCTCTTGCCTTTGCACAATGGCAAGTGTTAGTCCCATTTCAGAGCCCCAGGGTGTTCAGGGGACTTGCCTCATGCCTCCCAGTGAGGAGGTGTCGGGAGGACCTGGGCTGAGATCTCTGGCCCCAGAGCCCATGGTCCTTTCTTTGCCACACAGCTTGCTCAGCTCCGTGAAGGTGAGATGCAGGCCCCCTTCCTTCTGCACCTATCTCCTCCTCCCTCCCCACATCCTTCCGTCTGCTTCCAGATCCCTGGCCAGTGCTGCCCTACTTAGAACCCCAGGCTCCGGGCTGTGGAGGACCGCTGAGTCAGATGTGGGCTCCGGTCCCCTTTGCAGGCTGGCTGCTGACACAGCCACCCTCCGTCCCCGGGTGCCAGGTCTGCGGCAGCTGGGGCTACCTCTGGGGGTGATCTGTGCCTCCCCAGCAGGAACTGCCTGCCAGCCTCACCCCTGTCCTGGCCTTCAGGCCCATCTGGCTCGTCTGTGTGGCGCTGGTACAGCCTGAGGCCAGAGCCTTTGGTCCCTCCCCCAGGTCCCTGCTCTCTCCTAGAAGCAGCTGGAATGACTGGCCACTGGGTGGCGTGCGGTCACCAGCGTTTCCTGCTCGAGGCAGGTGGTGACTCCCTGAAGTCCAGAGCCCTTAATTCATCCTTCCTCCTGACACCAGGGCCTGAGGAGGAGGAAGGGTCCAAGTCAGGATGATGGGCGAAGGTCAGTGAGAAACGCTGACTTGAAGCTGTAAATTCATGTTGAGAGCCCAGAGGCCGGAGCGGGAGCCTGTCAGAGACCAGATTCTTCCGGCCCCTTCTCCCTCAGGGCCAGTGGCCAGCCCTGGAAATCTGTAATGGCTTTCTCAGGGGACCGGATCCACTGGCAGGTTTTTCTGTTTCATGATCATTCTTTGCTCTTTTTCCTCCACAAGTTTCTCGGTGTCTTTGTCCTCCTGACCTGTGTCTTGGTGGTTTTATCTGACCCGCTCTGCTGGTGTCCCTCCCTTCTCCTGCCCCCTCCCCCCGCCTGTGGGTGTGTGTTGTGTGTGTGTGCACGCGCACGCACGCACATCTGTCCTCCTCCCTGGAGTCCTTGTGGCTTTAAAGTGCTGATACTAATCAGATTTCAGTTGACTTATTGTCAGAGTAGCTTTTCATGTTCCTCAGAGACTCTTGGGAGTTACCAGCAAGGTCTGGACCTTGGCTATAAGCCCCCGGGCCGCCTTGTCCCCACCAGCGGCCCATGGAATACAGATGAAAGGCTGTTGGCCAGCCTCGCCCAGCAGGCAGTCAGCTGGTCTGTCAGAAGATCGCCCACAGAGAGGACCCTGTGGCCCAGGTTCCCAGGTGCTCAGCCTTCCTCCCAGGGGCAGTGTGGGGTCAGGGTCAGCCTTGAGAGAGGGAGGCCTGAGGGCTGAGCCTCACTTAGAGCTCTGTCCTCTCCCAACCCCTTCCCCCACCTTGCCAGGTGCCCCAGAGCAAAGGTAACGAAGAACCGCATTTGTATCTGAGGAAGAATGTTTCTCTGGTGGCTTAGGAGCATTTCAGGAAACTGCCCCTCCTCACCTCTGTGGAACCCCCTCCCCTCTGTGGGACTGCGGAGCTCTGGGAATTGCTTTTCCCGCCCCAGCTTCTCCTTATGCCTCCCACAGCACTTCCCCGGCCAGCCCTTAGTCCAGAACTTCCTGCATTCCATAAATGACTGGCTGAAGAGGCAGCAGAGAAGGAAAATTCCCTATGGTTTCTTTAAAGCTGCCCTGGACAACAGGAAGGAGGTGAGTCTGGGGGCAACTGAAGACCTTCTCCCTGTCCTCAGTGACTGTGGGGATGGAAGGGGTTAACCCTGTAGCCTCTGCCCTCCACCCACTTGCATTCCGGAAGGAGTCCAGGATCTCGGTTGGGCCCTTCCAGCAATAATGAATAAACCGCTACTTACTGAGCCGTCTGCGTGCACATCTCATCTCATCTTCCCAGCATGGGCGGAAGGTAGCTCTTATCCCCATTTAGCAGATGGAGAAGCTGAGGTTAAGAGAGGTTAAGTAACTCTCTAAGATCATCAGGCCAGTAGGTGGTTGGGCCGGGATTTAAGACTGAGTGTGAGCAAGTTTGTCGCTGGTGCTGCCAGCAGGCACATCGGGCCCCTCACAAGGCCCGTCTGGCCCTCTCCGGGGGCACCTGTCCGGGCTCCTGTGCTCCCGCTCTGTGCAGAGCTGGCCCAGTGCAGCCTGCAGAGACGCCCGGCTGTACAAGTGTGTCGGATGCCAAAGCTCGAAGGGACCTCAGAGGCCAAACCCCTCATTTTACAGATGGGGAAGTTGAGGCTAGAATAGGGATGTGACTCTGTGTCACAGCTTTTCAAATCTGCTGCTCCTTTGACGGGCGTAGCCGGTGGAAGGGAGGTGCCACCTTCCTGGTGGTGAACTGGAGAGGGACTTCATTCGCCTCAGGACTGTGTGCTGACTTTGAGTCTCCCGGAAGCTTCTTTCCTCTCGCCGCCCATCCCTTTCTCTTTCTTCCCCGTATACGCTCTCGTGCACGTGTGTGTTCTCAGGGCACTGTGATTGCCGAGAAGGTGAACTGGGTTGGCTGCCAGGGGAGTGAGCCACATTTCCGGGGCTTTCCCTGTTCCCTGTGGATCCTCTTCCATTTCCTGACGGCGCAAGCAGCTCGGCACAGTTTCGACCACTCACAGGAGACAGGTGAGCCCAAGGCCTTTGCCCCGGCCCGGCCCTCCACAAGCTTCGTGTCGCAGGCCCAGAGGTAGTTGATTCTGCATTTGCAGCTGGCCACGTGCACTCAGCCCAGAACCGGGACGCGGAGGACCTGGAGTGGCCACGCATTCCTGTCCCCAGCCCCAGGGTGGTGCCCTGTGCAAGCTCGGGGCTGTAAGATTCTTCCTGGCTTTCTTGGAGCCATAAGCTTGCTTTGTTTATAGAACTTTGTGATAAATTTGTGGTTCTATTTCGTATACTCCTATAAAACTAGGAATTTCGTCTGTTTCAGTCTACATGGCTGATACTGCATACTTTGAACAATTTTATTGTTTCCCACGGAAAAATCATTCTTTTTTTTTTTTTTTAGAGAGGGAGTTTGCAAGCTGGGGAAGGGGAGGGTCAGAGGAGAGGGAGAGAGAACCTTAAGCAGACGGAGCCAATGGGGTCTTTGTCTCACAACCCTGAGATCATGACCTGAGATGAAATCAAGCTGGACGCTTAACCAACTGAGCCACCCAAGCGCCCCCGAAAAATCGTTTTCTAAGGAAGGCTGGGGAAACACATTGCCCCTTGTGCCCTATTCCCTCCTCAAACCATGTGGCTGCCCTCCGCCGCTCACTCTGCCTCATACCTTTACCTCACGACCAAAGGGCAGGTGTCCAGCTCAGTCCCCACTGACTGAGGGTTAGATCACCGGGGTCAGCCTGGAGGAGGCATCAGTGGGCCGGAAAGCGCCCCGCTTTCTAGGGGCAAGGGGCAGGGGGCAGAGAGCTGCTGTGCAGCGGGCCAAGGCTCTGAGCCAGGGAGGGGGCGTGCAGGGAGAGGGAGAAAGGCTTCAGTGCAGTGAGGAGGGGCAGGGGGAGGTGAGCTGAGGGGGCGTGCAGGGAGAGGGAGAAAGGCTTCAGTGCAGTGAGGAGGGGCAGGGGGAGGTGAGCTGGGACCGGATGGAGGAGCAGGAGCTGAGCCAGGGAGGAGGGAGGAGAGCGTCCCAGTAGAGGCAGAGGGGATTAGAGGACCAGTCCGTCTGTCAGCCCCGGGATTGGGTCTGGTGGTGCACAAGCCAGGAAGTCCCTGCCTCAGGGGACAGCATTGCAGGGGCCGGAGACAGGCAGTAACCTTATAGGTACCTCATCTGGGTAGGGTGATGAGTGTCCTGAAGAAGACACACTAGGGGGCGTGGAGGAGGGACGAAGAAGGGGGGCCTCGTAGCTCCGGGAGGCTTCCCTGAGGAGGTGGCCCTGCGCGGACCCCGGGCTGGGAAGAGAGGTTTCCAGGCTGCCCCGACAAAGTGCTACACACGGGGGTGCTTCCCCAAGAGAAACTTATTTTCTCCCAGTTCCTGAGGCTGGCAGTTCAGTGTCAGGAAGGTCGGTGTCTGCCAGGACCTCTCCTTGGCTTGTAGATGGCCGTCTTCTCCCTGAGCGTTCGTGTGGTCTTCACTGGGTGTGTGCGTGTCCAGATTGCCTCTTCTTATAAGGACACCGGTCCTGTGGCTTAGAGCCCACCCTCGTGATCTCATTTGACCTTAATTGTTTCTTTAGACTCTTTGTCCAAATACAGTCACTTTCTGACATGCGTGACGTGTGAGTGCAGGTGGACGCAGTATGGCCCGTGACACAGGCCAAGGAGTAACAGGTGCCAAGAACAAATCTGATGTGTTTGCAGCCCCAAAATGAGGCCAGTGGCAGAGCCCAGTGTGGGGAAGGTTGGGGGGGGCGGTGCAGGCCTGATGGTCTCAGCGGGGGTGGGGTTGGGATTTCCTGGTCAGCACTATGAGATGCCTCTGGACGGGTGCTTAGAGAGACCACTGGGTGGAGGGTGGGCTGCCCCTGGCAGGGGTGGAACGCGCCTGGGAGAGGCGGTAGCAGCCCAGGCCAGAGCGGTAGGTGGTGTGTAGAGGAAGTGGTCAGATTTGGGAGTATTTGAAAGTGGTGCTGAGTGGAGCTGTGGCCAACTGGACAGAGAGCATATGCAGGAGCCAGGACCCAGCATGGACCCCAGAGCCGTTGGGCCTGAGCAGCTGGTGGACGATGGTTCTATGAGCTGAGAGATGGGAGGGTGTAGACAGTGGGGGACTCCGTGGTCTGTGCCCACTAGCTGTGTGAACAGAGTCATAGACGGGTGAGTCCGGGGCTCAGGGGAGAGATCCCAACCTTGTGGGCAGTAGCATGGGGGGTGATAGGTAAAGCCTTGCGACCGGGTGGGCAGCGGATGGCGCGGAGGCCTGGGCTCTGTGGCGTGCAGCCTCTGGGCCTCTGCCGAGGAGCAGGAGCCAGCGAAGGGGACGGAGAAGGAGCAACTACTGCAATTTCCGAATACCGTGTCGGAAGAAGGAGGGTGTAGGTGGCCCGGCGGGGGCCGCAGTCCTGCGGTGGGCCGGGGAGGGGGGTGGTGGCTGCCAGGCCCGGAGCTCTCTGGCAGGCGTGGTTGCGGTGGGGCAGCAGTGAGAAGGGCCTGGCTAGATGGGGTGAAGAGAGACTAAGAGGCCAGAAATTGGAGATAACGGGGCAGGCACTGGGGTCAGAGAAGGGATGTCTTTATTGCAGTTGTCTTTACTGGTCCTATTAAGGGAGAAATCAATGACGTGCCAACAAAAGAATATATATGTACAGGGTTGAAGTCCTGAGGAAGCCAGAAGGGGTGAGGTTCCAGAGCACAGGGTGGGGGTGGGGGAGACAGCTTCGGGGCCGTGTCAGCTGGGCCGGGAGAAGGCAGCACTGAGGAGGCCCGGGAGGTGGGAGGTGAGGCCTGGCCTTCGGGGCTGCTCACGTCACCAGGAATGATGGCGTGGGGAGTGGTCATGAGCAGGACACAGAGCGGGGTGTGGGAGTCCCAGAGAATGGAGGGGTGGGACCGTGAGTTCGGTTTTGAGGGGCTGGGGTCCTACAACAGGACAGTTGGACAGCAGCCCACAGCAGGGAGGGTCCTGCTGCCACCCCAGGCCTGACGAATGAGGCGTGTGGAAGACAAAAGGGTTTAAGAGACACATGTTTCGGCGAGCCCAGGGTCAGAGCAAGGAGGTGAGGGGAGTATTCAAAGGTGCGTGCTGATGCCAAGCTGGGGGCCCCGTGGGAGGGAGTGGGAGGCAAGGGGAGATGGAGACAAAGCAGGAGATGTGCCGAGCCGGATCCAGGGGGACCCCTGAGGCAGTGCCTGAAGGAACAGGAAGCCTAAAGTGGGCTGGGCGCAGGAGGGGTGCGGGGGCAGGTGCTGGGCCATGTGGCCCCTGCCTGCCTCTCCAGACGGGTCTCCAAGAGCCTCAGTGTCCTTCTGGTGAGTTTGGGTTTTATCCTGAGTGTCAGTTGGTGACAGGGACCAGGATGAGTGGCAGAGAAAGGAAACTGGGATTTAGGACTTTAGGAGGTGACGGGGTCAACTCTAAAGTGACCCCTGGAAGGCGGCCGGGTGTGCAAGGAGACCGCAAGCCCTTCCTCAGAAGGTGGGCCTGCGGCAGGCGCAGTGGTGGGGCTGGCGGGCACAGGCGGCCCATGAGGCCCCCGTGACAGGCACGGCCCTCTCCTGCCCGCAGCCAGGGCCCAGGAGGTCCTCCAGGCCATCCGCAGCTACGTGCGTTTCTTCTTCGGCTGCCGAGACTGCGCCAACCACTTCGAGCAGATGGCAGCCAACTCCATGCACCGGGTGGAGAGTCTGAACAGCGCCGTGCTCTGGCTCTGGTCCAGCCACAACAAGGTCAACAATCGCCTCGCCGGTAAGGAAGGGCCCCCTCCAAGGCCAGAGTTACCCACAGAGGGAGAGGGAGGTAGGGGGGTTTGGGGACCTGGACCAGAGGTAGGAGGCGGGACACTTATTGCCCCTGAGGTAACACCCCGTGTTTCACTGTGCACAGAGCCCTTCCGCATGCTCTGCCTGTCCTGCTGAGATAGGGCAGTGTCTTGGACCCATTTTCCAGGTGAGGAAGCTGAGGCTTTGACACTCTAGGACTGTGGTCTTCCAACGCCACTGCTCCCTTGTTCCCCTGCACCAGGGCCCCTTTTCTGGAACTCTTGGGGTCCCTCTCTTACCTCCCCTGTTCTTCCTCTGCCTGTTGTCTCCTTCCTTACTCACACCAACAGGGAGGAGAGAGCTGGGCTTTTCCACCCACTAGAAAGGGTCTAGCAATGAAATGTGCTGGAAAGGAAAGACCACGTCCTTCCTAGGAAAAATGGACCGATTCCCTTAGGGGGAGGCCTTGTTTTCTGAGGGTCCCCACTTCCGGTGTTTTCTGTTCCCCAGGCACAGGAGTCTGATGTGTCCAACAGGCAGAAGCATCAGACTCCAGAGTGACCAGAGCGAGTGGGGAGGGGGCCATCTGTAGCCGGGAGCCCAGGCTTATCTGTGGGGAGAGGGGAGAGCATGTGGACGACTGACCCCCTCCCGCCCAGCCCAGCCTTAGGAGGTTAAAGGAGCTGAATGGAGCAGGTGGCAGTTCAGGCTGCTGTCTCCTGGGGCCTCCTGGTGGGCTTTGAAAGGAAGACAGGAGCCTGTCTCTCCTCTCACCCCTTCCCTCCCTGCCAACCCCCACCGCCACATGCTCCCTTTGACCCTCCAGCCTCATGACCTCGGCAGGCTCCCTGCTTCCCTGGGGACCCAGATGCTGCTGGAGGCTCGATCTGGGGCTTCTCCTGGAGGGGCCCAAAAGAAGCCAGAACCCTGACCTCTGCAGTGGGGTCTTTCCAGATCAAACTAGGAAGAGGGCTTACTTGGCAAGGCTGGTCACTACTGCTTCTCATGATACCCTTGGAATCTACTCGATGTCCCCACCCCAAAATAACCATTCGGACTTTGACTTCACTTGCCACTGCTTCATTCTGGCCAGCATCTTTTTCTGCCCTTGTGAAATCCTGTAGGAGAGGTGCCTCCTCCAAGAGATCTGGGCTGGTGGATGTGCCCGGGTGACCCTGGGCGAGGAGCTAGTGGCAGGCTCCGCTGGAGACTCAGCCTGCTCTATCAGCCATCAGAGCAACTTCCTGACTCTCCCAAGTGCCCTCCTCCCCACCCAGGCCCCCCAGGCGCCCCTATGCTCCCCCTTGGAAGTCCCTCTCGCCACCCCCAGGAGGAAATCCCACTGACTCCTACCCCCCAGGGCTGCTTTGGCATAAAGGAGAACACCTATGGAATGACCATGTGCCACAAACTCTTGTTTTAAAACATTTTCTGGGGCACCTGGGGGGCTCAGTCGGTTAAGCATCTGCCTTCAACTGGGGTCATGATCTCAGGGTGGTCCGGGAATCAAGTCCGGTGTCTGGCTTCCTGCTCAGCGGGGAGTCTGCTTCTCCCTCTGCAGCTCCCTGTTCTTGTGCTCGCTCACTCTCTCTCTGTGAAGTAAATAAAATCTTCAAAACACACACACACACACACACATTTTCCCCTTAGTTACAAAAGTAAGGAAGTGGCAGCAGGGAGCCGCTGTCCGTCCCTAGGAGGCAGGCTGTGGTGGCTGCGGGGTAGGAGTCCTCCGTGGCCAGAGCGGCCCCAGCACTGCTGTTGGGCTCCACGGGCTCTAGGCTAGGTTTTTTGTTTTTGTTTTTTAAAGATTTTATTTATTTATTTGACAGAGATCACAAGTAGGCAGAGAGGCAGGCAGAGAGAGAGGAGGAAGCAGGCTCCCTGCTGAGCAGAGAGCCCGATGTGGGGCTCGATCCCAGGACCCTGGGATCATGACCTGAGCCGAAGGCAGAGGCTTAACCCACGGAGCCACCCAGGCGACCCTCTGGGCTAGGTTTTACAGGGCTTCCCACCCACACGTCATTTCCAAGGGCAGTGAGGAGCCCTTCTAGCAGATGAGAAAGCGAGCGTTCTGAGGGAGGAATGGGGTCTGGGCTCTGAGGTGGGCCGAGGGCTCACCGCCCCTCCATGTGTGTTTCCCTCCCCAGGGACCGCCAGTGAGGACCCCCACTTCCCCAAGGTGCAGTGGCCGCCCCGTGAGCTCTGTGCTGCCTGCCACAACGAACTCCGGGGTACGGCTGTGTGGGACCTGAACAATACTCTGCGATTTCTCAAGACCCACTTCTCGCCCAGCAATGTGGTCCTGGACACGCATTCCCCTCGGCGGGGCCCCCGGATGGCTGCCCAGAGGATGGCAGCCAGAAATGCCACTCTGAGTCCTGCGAAGGTGGCGATGGTGGCGGGCCCGGGGACAGAGTCCCTCGGAACCGCTGTTCCTGGCGTTGCCGTGGAGAGACTCGGGGCGAGTCAGCCCCAGGATGTGCTCATTGGCTTCGGGGCCACCATGGCCGAGCCAGAGCAGGGGTCCCCCGAGCATGTAGCGAAGCTTCAGAGGGATGAGGCGGAGCAGCCCGAGGGGCGGCAGCACGTGAGCAGGCGAGACAGGGGAGCCACGCTGCTGGCGGAGTTCCTGGCCGAGAAGAGCCATCCCAGAGCCCCTTTGGAGCTGCGGCGAGTGGGCCGCAGCTCCAAGCAGCTGGCCAGCATCCCCGAGGGGGAGCCAGAGGCGGGGCCCATGCGGGGCCAGGGCCAGTGGCTGCAGGTGCTGGAGGGGAACTTCTCCCACCTGGACATCAGCCTCTGTGTGGGGCTCTACTCCCTGTCCTTCATGGGCCTCCTGGCCGTCTACACCTACTTCCGGGCCAGGATGAGGGCGCTGAAGGGCCATGTTGGCCACCCCGCAGCCTGAACCATTCAACTTGGGGAAGGGGCAGGGCCGGGAGCCGCCACTTGTGGTGCTCTCCCAGCCCCCTGCCCCTCTCCCCTCTCCCCGTGTTCCTTGTCCAGGGAAATCCAGAGAAACCAGTTGCTCCAGTGGACCTCCTTGGGCCTTCTGGGAAGGAATGTTCCATAGACATGAAAGCATGCGTAGGGCTTGTGTTCATCTGAAGTGCAGGGGAGGCAGCGTTGGGCAGAGGGGTTGGGAGGCTCAGCACCAAATTCCTCTCTTTTACCTTATTTGAAGTCCCTCCTTGCTCTCGCTGAAGCTTCCGTGTCTCCACTTGGTCTTGGCCCTAAAAACTGGGGCAAGCCAAGGCCAAAGATCCCCGGGTTCCCCTTCCAGAGGAGAGTTCCCAGCCTAGTGGGCTAGAGCCGAACTCCTCACTGTATTCCCGAGCTCCATCCATCCCGCTCCCTTCCGGATGCAAAGAGGCCTTTGTGCCAGAGAAGGAAGGACTGTCTCTGGCCCTCTGTGGCCTGTGTGTCCTCCAGCCCCTCAAATCTCCAGGGTGGGGCTTGCTTCTGGGTGCGGGAGGGGATGGTCTGGAAGCTTCTGAGAGTCCTGCTGGTCTCCCAGGTGAGGCTTGGGTTCAGGGTTGGAGGGAGGAGAGCTTCTGGCTCCTTCCCCAGACCTCTGCTGCTGGCGCTGGTGTGGACTTGGACGGGTGATGGCCTCGGGGCTGGGTGGTGAGCTTGGCAGCACCTGAGAGCGGCTAGCAGGGGACTTAGGGATGGGTGGTGGTGTCTTTAGTGCCTTGGCTCTGGGCTTAGCTGTGAGGGGAGAGGGAAGCTTCAGGGAAAAGACGGTTGCTTCAAATGTGCTTTGGCTCCTCCCCAGCGGACTCCACCCCTGTTGGAGCTGGGTTTGCTGTCTTTTGATTTTGGCCTCCAAAACAGATGTTAGTCTCTGAATGCGGAGGGTGCTGGAGTAAGGGGGGGGTATCCTCTCTCCTGAAGGTCCACCTCCCGTCGTGTAGAAGTTCAAAGGGTCAGCGGGAAAGGTGGCTCCATACACATGCTTGATTCCCACTCTGCCCCACTGCTTGGGAAGGTTGTGGAATAAATTATTTTTGTTAAAGCAAGCCCTGGTGTGTTCTTTAAGTTGCTGTTTGGAGACCTTGAGTCCAGAATGCACAGAATCCAGCCTCTGTGGGAATCCAGCCAGACATGCTGGCCCTTGGCTCACGGAGCTCCCGCCCTGCAGGGGACAAGGTGCCCTGGCCCTCCTCCACGGTCCCCGGAGACCTCCGGCCCCAATCCCCTTCCATCTCCAGGGGTGCAGGGGACAGAGCTTGGTGAGTCTAATGCCGCTGCCTCCTGTTTCCCCAGCCTCCCTGGAGTTCCGGTTCTGCTCCCGGAACCTTCCTCTGCACCTGCCGAGCCCGCCACAGCCACACCTCCCTCCCTCATCTCAAGGAAGGAGACAGTTTGGGTTTGTTTTCAAGAGCTCTTCCACAGGGAGGAGTCAGCCCGACTGGAGAGCCTGCCCCTAATCCGGCCCGGCAGGCTTTACAAGGCTCAGAGCCGCTGATAATGAACCTCATTAAGGGGGAGCAGGAGCCTCAATCCGATTTAGGGTTTTCTCTTTGACATCTTCACTCAGCTCAGATGGCCTTGGCACGGGGTGGAGCAGGTGGGATCCCAAGCAGGCTCCCTCTGCCAGGGCAGCTGGCATGAGGAGCACAGGCAGGGGTCAATACCCCCTTCCCCCAGCCCTGCTTAAGTCAGCCCTGTGCTACCTCTTTAGCCGGATAGTCCAGGCTGGAGCCTCTCCGCAGGCCTCTTGTCTGCCTGTAGGTTCCCTCTCCGCGTCCCTCCTCCATCTGTCCCCTCCATTCCCCTAAGCCGGCTCTGCCCCCTCTCCCCCTGCCCCACTGGGTCCTGGCTGGGAGGCTCACAGGGCACACTGGGCAGGATGACCCTGGCCTGCAAGAAGGAGAAAGAGGTCCCAGGGCCAGTGCGTGCCGAGCCAAGACCACCCATCTAGCTCCTCTACCACCTGGGACCTGACACAATGTCAAGGACAGAGAGCCCTTACAGCTCCAGTGAGGCAGGCCCTAGTAGGGCCCGGGCAGTGGGTGTGGGTCTCTTCACAGCCAAACATTTCTTGGGCTGTCCCAGCCACTCTCACTGATAAACAAGGGTGGGCCCCCTCCTTAGCGGGGCTGCTGCCTGGGAGCCCAGGCTTCTGTGACTGGAACTCTGCTTACTGTTCTAGATGGTTCTCCGCATCCTGGGAGAGCTCCCATGCAGGAGAGGGTCCTCAGGGAAGCCCTGGAAAGCAAAGGCTCCTTGTTCTGTGGCCGGACAGAGAAATCCCCCACTGTCTGGGATGATCCCTACTGAGCATTCAGGAAGGATTTCTTCAAGATGGAGGCAGCTGAGCTGGCTTTTGACAAAAGAGTGGGTGTTCGCAAGGAAAATGAGGAAAAAGGCATCACAGGCCAAGGGGAAAGCACGTGCCAAGTCCAAGAAAGAAAAATAGTGAATACAAGAAATTCTCAGTATAAGAATGCAGAAAAAATATTTTGTTAAAAAAAAAATTTAAGGAGCACCAGGGTGGCTCAGTTGGTTAAGCATCTGCCTTCAGCTCAGGTCATGATCCCAGGGTCCTGGGATCAAGCCCCACATCGGGCTCCCCACCCAGTGGAGAGCCTGCTTCTCCTCCTCCCTCTGCTTCTATGCCCACTCGTGCTCTCTCTCTCACTCCCTCTATCTCAGGTAAATAAATAAAATCTTTTAAAAAAATAAAATTTAAGAGGCACCTGGGTGGCTCAGTAGATTTCAGCTCAGGTCATGATCTCAGGGTCTTGAGACCCAGGGGGTGTCTGCTCGAGGATTCGCTCTTCCTCTCCCTCTGCCCCTCCCCCTGCTCTCTCTCTCTTTTTTGTGCTGTCACTCAAAATAAATCTTTTAAAATACATATAAGGGTGTTCTCGGTGCTGCACTGCGTTAAAGCTGGGGAGACAGGGAAGAGAGGTTCCCGCTGGAGTGGAGCTTCCTTGCTAGAGGAGGAGAGGAGAGAGAGTGTGCTAAGCGCTCTGAAGGTGGGACCAGCAGGTGGGACTGGGGCGGGGGGCTTTCCGGAGACCTGAAGGATGAGAAGCCAGGAAGTTGGGCTGGGGGGGGGGACTGTAAGCCCCAGGGGCTGCTTTGCTCAGAAGTCACCTCCAGGTTGGTGAGGTCCCCGTGGGTGGCCCCCCTCCAGCCTGGCAGCCTTGGCACAGGGTAGGGGAAGGAGGCTGAGGCAGCACATCATTCCCTGGGTGTGGGGGTGAGGAATGGGCTCCAGGGAACCCACACAGTCTTGGCCCTGGAGAAAGTCACCAGCAGCAGAAGGAGGAGGAGACCTGGTTCATTCCTTCGGGTTGGCCACTAACCAGCTGCATCGGACATTGGGTGAACCCTTCATCTCTTGGGTCTCAGCCTCCTCACGTCTAAGGTGAAGGCCTCAGGCGAAGCTTCATGGTCCCTAAGGTGCCTTTATGTCTCTGATAGTGATTTCAGCTGATTTCTTGTCAGCTCAGTGAGGGGCTTGTCCCTTCAGAACCTTCCAGAAAGGACTCCCAGCTAACGGAAATCACAGCTTTTATGATCTGTGTCATCCTGGAAGCCCAAGACGACTGTGAGAAGGGAAAGCTCACTCATAGCAGCCTGTACCCTTCACTCCACAGGGGTCCTCTGCTATCCCCCAGCACTGCCTGAGTCCCTTCAGGATCGCCTCCCTGAGCCAGCTCCACGGCAAGCCCAAGGACGCCTCCCTCGTGTCCTTCTTCCCCATCACCTCATTTCAGGGCCAACCTCCTATGAGGGCAGAGGCTGCTGCTTAGGCAGGTGGGTAAGATTTCCCCCATTCCCATCTACACAGCTTTAAGAACTCAACCGAACTCCAAGAAGAACAATTTCATTTCCAGCCCTGATTCCCTGTGCCTGGCTTGCCTCCTCCTCAGGCCTGCCTCTGCGTACCCCCCACAACAGTGCAGGGCCCAGGCTTCTCCTGGCTTTTCTAGCCTCGCCTCAACGGTCCCTCACACTTGCTTTCTCCCTTCCTCTGCTGTCCTAGGGGGTCCTTCACACCCAGGAGGGAGAACAACTCTCATTCCTCTCTCTCTCCTGCCCTGCGGCTTAGCCCTCCTCCTGCCTGGGCCCCAGCAGTGCAAGCTCTTCCATAGCGAGTCGCTCCATGCCCTCGGGATCCCAGTTCCCCGAGCGACTCCGTTCACTGCACTCAGGCCTCCCACCCTCCCACCCCAGTCCAAGCCTTGGTCTCTGCTCTGGAAGAAATCTGGAAGAAAGCACCCGCCCGTGAGCGCCTCCAGGGGTATGGCTGGTGGCCCCTTCTCTCTGCTCCCCCTCCCTGGCCCCTTCTCTCCAGGCTTCGCCTCTGCCTGGGGAATGCATGTGCTGGCCTTGGGTCACAGGCAGGAAGGAAAGAATCTAGAATTCTCAAGGCAAAGGTGGGGATCTCTGCCAACATGAGGGAATGACATTAAGGAGGTGCTCCATGGGGCACCTGGGTGGCTCAATGGGTTAAAGCCTCTGCTTTTGGCTCAGGTCATGATCCCAGAGTCCTCGAACATCAAAACTTCTGGTGGTCACAGAGCTCCGCCTTGAAGAGGGAGGGGCTGTTAAGCAAATGATGTGGAGAATATTGATTATTTGAGGAGAATTCAGCTAAGAGCCCATCTTCACACCATGTGCAGTGATATAAAAAGAATAAGGCATAGGAAAATATCGTTGAACACTTCACTGTTTTTGTAAGCATAAAAGCCATGGAAAATATAACTGATGTGAGCACTTGATCTACTTGACAACGCTGATTTTTTAAAAAATAAGTTAAAAATGGGGGTCGCTGGGGCGTCTGGGTGGCTCAGTGGGTTGAGCCTCTGCCTTCGGCTCGGGTCATGATCTCAGGGTCCTGGGATCGAGCCCCACATCGGCCTCTCTGCTCAGCGGGGAGCCTGCTTCCCCTCTCTCTGTCTGCCTGCCTCTCTGCCTACTTGTGATCTCTGTCAAATAAATAAATAAAATCTTAAAAAAAAATAAAATCTTACAAAATATGTATATGTAGTTATATACAGATATATAAATGTTAATGTTTGTCTGTAGAAAGCCTGGAAGAGGATACATCAGACTCTGACCAGTGGTCATATCTAGAAAGTGAGGTTAGGGTGGACTGGAACCAGGGCTTCGACTAGAGCGAGGCGAGGAGAACAAAATCGAGGGAGACACATATCTTCGGGATCGACACGCGACAGTGCCGCCTCAAATTGGGGAACGTGGGCACCTCCGTAACTTCACCCTAGTCCTGGCTCTGACCTAAATACTTAAATACCTTTTTGAATTTTTGCAATAAATACATTTCTTTTGAAAACAAAGAATAAGAAGGAAAATAAATAGGATTAAAAGACTTTAAAGTTCTATTGTAGGTCACCTGGGTGGCTCTGTTGGTTAAGTATCTGCCTTCAGCTCAAGTCATGATCCCAGGATCCTGGGATCGAGCCCCACATGGGGCTCTCTGCTCAACGAGAAGACTGCTTCTCCCTCTCCTCCTCCCCCTGCTTATGTTCCCTCTCGCTGTCTCTCTCTCTGTCAAATAAATAAATAAAATCTTTAAAAAAAAAAAGAAAGAAAGAAAGAAAAGAAAAGGGGCGCCTGGGTGGCTCAGTGGGTTAAAGCCTCTGCTTTCGGCTCGGGTCATGATCCCGGGGTCCTGGGATCGAGCCCCACGTCGGGCTCTCTGCTCAGCAGGGAACCTGCTTCCTCCTCTCTCTCTGCCTGCCTCTCTGCCTACTTGTGATCTGTCTGTCAAATAAATAAAATCTTAAAAAAAAAAAAAAAAGAAAGAAAGAAAAGAAAAGACAACAGATAATTTTAAAAGAAGATTTCATTCACGCTCTCTCGTCACAGACAGGGACGGCCAACCCATGCAGTGTCCTGTCTCTGGGACGCCCCCAGCTCTAGCCCCATCCGGGTCTCCCTTCTGAGCTCCAGACGCAGCTTCCCACGCCGCTGACTTGCTTCCCTGCACATCTCTGGCTCCCGACCAAGGCTTCCTCTGCAAGCCGGGTCC